TTAGTCATTTTTTGGTGCCAAATTCTTGAGTACCCAAGTTCAATTCAAGTCAGTTAGACAGATTCAAGATACATCCCAAGAATACAACATTCAACTCTACATAAGTTTACCACCTCACCAAAAGGGCTCAGTTCTGTTAATACTTACCACAATTGAAGATGGTTAGCACAAGATCAATGGCCAGATAATTACTGGATTACAATATAATTCTATGACATTTCTTTAACTGTTAGTTTTTTGTTTTTGTTCTTTGTTTTTTTTTTGGTAGAGACAAGGTTTTGCCATGTTGCCCAGGGTGGTCTCAAACTAACACTTAAGACTCTATGCCCGCTGCCTTGGCTGAGTTAAGTTGATAACAAGTACTATTCTGTCACAGACTGGGTAAAAATATTTATATAAATGATATGAACATTTTGTATTATTACATATTTTTCTTTTAAGACATATAATCAATTGCTATAGCAACCCTAAGGGATCTTTAAGACTCAGGTATTCATTCGCATTTTCAAGTCAGGAAAGATAATGAGCTTTGAGGTTCTAAGTTCAGCTAAATTAAAGCCAAATGTCCCAAATGATGCTTTTACCTCAGTCTCTCAAATAGTTAGCTATGAAGTTCTGAAAGCTTACAAATTGAATTATTGACTGATACAAAGTAAAAGATGCTGAGCCTGGAGTCCTCCAAAAAAAATACACTGCTCAAAGGCTGACTCATTGTGGCTATGGCAAAAAAGTAGTAAAGTCTTCCTAGTCTAAAACAAACGAAAAACACCTACGTTTGAAAAGTACCTTGAAAACTGTTAAAAATATACTGACAATTTGCTTTAAAATGTATGAAGGTCATTCCATCTGTGGTTTTTTTTTTTTGGTGAGAGGCTAATCAATCACAAACAGATGCTACAACTCACTGTCTCAAAGTGTCCAAAGTGTGATGCCCGGACTTAGATCCCAGATTCTACTAGATGTAACCATGCAAGTGTAAAAGCCAACTGAATAAAACTGTTGACAGAACACAGCTTTTCCCCACTAATGATGAAGAATAGGTAGCACAAAGTGAAACTTCTGACTATGCATTGACCTCATGAAGCAATTAGGATCTTGGTGTATGTAATATGTATATTATATATGGAATAGTGCCAAAAAGTAGTAATGGATTTATTTACATTATATCTTCATTAGTAAAAGTGCAGAGAATAAGTGATTTCCAAGAAAGTTTGAAGGCTTACCCTCTTCAGGATTCTAGAGATAAATACACAAATTTTGACCAATACTATAGTGACTTATCAGACAGTTTCAATTAGGTTATGCTGCAGTAACAAAAATGCCCAAATCATTGTGACTTGCAACTACAAAGATTTATTTCTTGCTTATGTTACATGTCAGCTGTCAGTCAAGCTGAAGATGCATCCCTCTTCTAGAACAGCAGTTTTCATGGCAGAGGGATAACAGCCATGGCAGAAAATTGGTTCTTAAGGATTCTGTTTTGAAGTGACATTCATCCCTTCTGTTTATATCTCACTGGACAAAGGAAGTCACACAGCCAAGCTAGATGTTACTAGGTGGGGAATTAGAATTCTCTCACAGAGAGAGCCAGCAAATAATTGAGGAAAATAATAATGGTCCTCAGGGGAGATAACCCTAACTCTTTTCCAGTTGTGGCAATAGACTCGCCAAGTCCCGATTCTTGTAATACCTCTTATTTAAAATCCAAATGTGGTACCTTTTACTCTGGAGACTTAATAAACTAAAAAGACAGGTTAGGTACCCCTCAAATATCTAACATATAATTGCAGAATGGGACTAATATAACTTGAATATATCTCCAAATTGGAAAGGGGACAAATGGGAAACACACAGCAGCCACTTATCCATGTAAATTCTGAAATTTTGCTGGGCAGAAGAGGCAAGGGTTCTGCTTTGCCCTGGGAATGGGGAATATTCTTTAATTGGGTCACAAAGATTTAGTGGTAATTAGGTCCCTAGCTTTTGTTTATGTGGGGATGCTTTCCTTTCTCCTTCACTTTTTTTTTAATTGCATTTTAGGTTTTGGGGTACATGTGAAGAACATGCAAGATTGTTGCATAGGTACACACATGGCAGTGTGATTTGCTGCCTTCCTCCTCATTACCTATGTAGGAACATGGATGAACCTGGAAACCATCATTCTCAGCAAACTGACACAAGAACAGAAAATCAAACGCCACATGTTCTCACTCATAGGTGGGTGTTGAGCAATGAGAACACACATGTTCTCACTCATAGGTGGGTGTTGAACAATGAGAACACGTCTCCTTCCCTTTTGAAGGACAACTTTTACAGATATAGAATTCTTGGTTCACAGTTCGTTTTTTCTTTTAACACTGATATAACAGCCCACTGCTTTATGGCCTCTGACATTTCTGATGAGATATGTACTCATAATTTTATCAAGGATCCCTTGTATGTGACAAGTCACTTATCTCTTGCTACTTTCCAGGTTCTCGCTGTCTTTCAAAAGTTTTATTTTTAATTTGTCTGAGTGTTGGTCTCTTTTAGTTCATACAATTTTGAGTTTGTTGAGTTTCTTGAATGTTTATATTCATGTCTTCCATCAATTTTGGAAAGTTTTCAGCTATTATTTCTTCAGATAATCTATTTTCTCCTCTCTCCCTTTGCCTTCTGGGGCCCCACAATGTACATAATAGTTGGCTAGAAGGTGTCCCATAATCCCCTTTATCTCCTCTGACAATTGTTCCAGAGCCCATTTCTGACTTCTATCAATTGTGTAGAGTAGAAAGAACTGAAAAAAAAATTATTATGGTACAATGAACAGATACTAGTAAGTCATCAGTAAATCTGACAGAAGTTTGTGGAAGTGAGACAGACCTTGTGGAATGACAAAACAGTCAAACCTTATGGAGACCAATTAACAGCAAAACTAGTAAAAAGGGCAGTCAGAAACTTGGAATGATTGGAACTCCTTTAACCACATGCATGTGGGTAGCTTATCATACAAAGAGGAGTTAAAAGTCTTAGTGAAAGATGTGGGGCACAGAATCTCACAATTGCATTGGTAACAGGACCCCACCCTATGGCAATGCTAAAAAAAAAATGAAACAAATGTAAGCAGGTAGACACTGGGCCACATAAATATTCTTTTTAACCACACATTGGGTGCTGGGGAAGAGTATGAGAAGGATTTGTACAAGCAAAAAAAAAAAGGAAAAAAATGAAGTAATAAAATATAATTTATGTGTAAAAGGATTAAGCTTACCCTGAGAACTCAAGAGAGCTCTGGGAACTGCTATCCCATGATATGTATCCCATGTCATGAAGTTACGTATCTTTCTTGTCATGTCAGTTCTATTCATTGATATCAATGCAGAGAAGAAACCAAGGGCTCCTCCTGGAGCACTATGCAAACATGCTGGAGTCTGCAGAAATCCAGGGCACTTTCTCCTGAGATAGTTCTCAATACACTTATCCTGTTCATCCAGCAATTGAGCTATCCAGCAGTGAAATAAGAGAATAAGAAGTGAACACAATGATTCTGGGCCTAGTAAAGTGGTATCAGAGCAATTTACTATCTGATCTTTAGAGGATGGTTTGCTATAGTTTTCTTTTTCCAAATAAACTAATATAGTTTATTTTTGGTTTTCAGAAATCCCTTAATCTCTGATATGCCAATGACTTCCTTTCTTATTTCTCAGCAAGGTTATTAATTTGTTTCCAATTAAAAAAGGATCTGCTCTATCATTTTATGGAAGTCAGGGTGAAAGAATATTTGGATATGTGTGCCTTGTCTATTATTTTGATCATATATATTTTAGCTGGTGTTATTTTAATTTATATATAAAGTATAGTATTTATTTAAAAATTAGCCCAGTTTGTCCTGCTTTGATTTTTGACTGTTAATGGTGATTTTGACAGATAAGTACTAAGAGTCTTGATAATCAAATTTAACACATTTTCCCTTTATGGCTCCTGAATTTTGTACCACACTTAGAAAATAGCCACTACATTTTCTTATAGTACTTTATGATTTTTTTAAAAAACATATTTAAGTCTTTGGTGTAAGGACAGTAAAAGGAATTCATATTTTTTCCATCTTAACTTTATTGTTACAACATTAATTGTTCTATAACCCATCCTTGTTCCCAGTGATCTGAAATATCTTTACATATACTAAATTCCCAACTAGACTTTCTAGACAATCTACTCTATTCCATGGAACTATACATTTATTATATTCTTCTGAATGCCAAAATTTGGCATGATACTAATCTTCCAAATTAGGTGAGAAAAGTGTGTTCTCTTTATTTTTAAAATAGTTTTATTATCATTCCTTTTTGTCACATTCTAATTTCCAGATAAATTTCACCTACTTTTAATAAATTCCAAAGCAAATTCCAAAAGAATTTTTATTGGGCTGCATTGTACTAATGACTAATTGACATTTTACAAATATCTTGCCACATATGAAAAGATTATTTTATGATACTCTGTAGCATTTTAGAAATTCTCCAATATGGCATTCACATACTTTGTGTTTATTCATAAATGTTCTAATATTTTTGTTGCTATTATGAATGTGATATTTTCATGCATTACATTTTATGGGTTTCTATTCATATATAAGAAAATTAAAAATTAAGAATTTGTTACATAATGTATTTTTATGTTGCTAATTGTTCTCTAGTTAAGTTTCATGGTATTCTAGATATAGGATCATATAATTGGCAAGTAATAATTTTCTCTGCTTTTCCCAACATTTATAACTTAATGCTTTTACATAACTGCTTTAGCTGGCACCTCCAGTGAAAAATATTAAATAATAGTGGTACTAGGAAACAATCTTTGTTTTGTCCCACAGACATCTACTCACATGCATGCAAGCACACACATACACACAAGCACACACACATACACACATGCAAACATACACATGAACACACACACTTATTAAAAGAAATTGTTTATCCATTTCAGGTTATATATATTCAATAATATCAAATGTCTTTTATGTACTGAAAATTTAATCTTTTTATTTCTTCATTACACATTGCTGAGAATTTTATTGAAGTAACTCAGCATTCCAGGAATGAACCTCTTTTGGCAGAATATATTCTTTTCATACACTGCTGAATTGCATTTGCTACATTTTCTAAGATGATTCTCATCAATATTGTACAAGATTGACCTGCAGATTGTTTTTGTCTTTTCAATGTTAGGTTTTTGTATCAATATTATGTTGTCTAATAAATGTAACTGGTATTTTTGCCTTCTATATTGATGATTGGGGGAGAGTTTTAATATATCATAAGTTAATATTACATATTTCTTGATAATTTACACAAAATTCATCTGTGAAGCCGTCCAGAAGATGTAATTAATAGGTAGAGGTAGATAAGCTCCTTGACTGTTTTACTCTTTCCATTATGCTTTTTTTCTGATTAGATTTTTCTATCTCCTTTTAAACCCGTTTTAAATTCCCTAGAAAGTCTTCCATTGCATCTACATTTTCAAATTTTAGTACATATAAAACTTGTGCAAAATTGTGGCATTCTTTTAATTTGCTCTGTATTTTAAGTCATCTCCCAATTTTTATCCACAATTTTGTATATTTTCAGCTTTCTTCATTTCCCCAACTACTACTGACTTTTATATCAGAGAACAAGTTCTTAAATATAATAAGTTGATATTTAACCATAGATTAATAGTTTTTACTATCAATTTCTGTTGCTTTCCTTTTCCTGCTGATTTTTTAAAAACTTATTTGTTTTGCATTCTTACTAGATTAAAACTAGAAAAACTGAGGCTATAAATTTTCCTTGATACATGACTCTAATTGTAGCTCTGTTTGACTTCTTCGTCTATTAATATGAATTTTATGATTAAACAATTATGAAATAGAAACATATCTAATTGTCAGGATTACTGATACATATATAATTTGCTGACTATATCTCCATATTTAATAGCACCACACTTTTTTAACTTTTAAGTTCAGGGGTAAATGTGCAGGTTTGTTACATAGGTAAACTTGTGTCATGGGGGTTTCTGGTACAGATTATTTCATCACCCACGTGTTAAGCCTAGTACCCATTAGTTATTTTTTCCTGAATCTCTCCCTCCTCCTACCCTCCTCCCTCCTATGGGCCCCAGTGTGTGTTGGTCTCCTCTACGTGTCCTTGTGTTCTCAACATTTAGCTCCCACTTATAAGTGAGAACATAGCATCACAATTTGAACACAAGTTATTCTGACTTCACATTTTGAGTTCTTAACTCTTATTTTCTATTGCCTCCTTACCTACTGTTTATTTTGTTTTCTATCTTTTGCTTTATGGCCTGGATTTTATTAGTTTTGAAATTTCCCCTTCTTCCCTTCAATTATTAACTTAGAAAATACATGCAATTGTCAGGTTTTAGGTCTATTAGTGAGGGCTTTATGTATTTAAAATCTATATTTAAAGCACTCTAAAATGTCATTAACTATACGATGCTTTATTATTTTTAAATGATCTTGAAAAAAATAGGGTGACAATTATGATTATGTTATTATTGATTAGAAGACATATTCTAATTTCAGAAATGCTTCTTAGAATTGATTAAATACAATAGTATGCATAACCAGCATTTTTCCATTTATATACATCCAAAACAAACTGTCCTAAGAAAGATGAAGCAATCAGCATATTAATATGATCTTCCCTTCAACCCCTCTCCACAAATCTACATATTGCAGTTCTTTCTGAACTTTTTGTCTCAGTTAACTATCATCAAATTATCTTCTATTTAAGAATTCCAGTATTACATCCCTTTTTCCTAGTCTATCTGATTTCATGTGTAACATGTTCATCACCAATCCTGCTAGATGGTAATTTTGCCATTTATGCATTCCTTCTTTTGCTTTACCTTCTATATGCTTTTAGAAACAGATCATAAAAGCTATAATTTCTTACTTTTTAAAATTTCACCTATTTTTCTTCAATACTCTATAGATATCATACCATCACTTGAAGTCTGAGAAGAAAATATGAGACCAACTTCATTTTTAAAAACATTGTAGGTGACGTTTTTCTTAGTCTCGTCATGCTTATGAAATGTTTTAAATCCTAAAAGTCTGTCGTTCAGTCTTTGTTATGTTTTCCTGGTATTTAGTAAACCCTCTCAATCTACAGACTGCAGTTTTAATTTCAGGGATAGCTTTCCCTTTATATCGATAACATTTCCACCAAGTAGTTTTTCATTTCTACCTCACTACATTTTGTGTGATTTTTTCTGAACTATTTCCTCCAACTCATTAAGAACATCTGCTACATTATTCACTCTACATCTTCCTGGATCTAATGTGGTTTTAATGATTTTTGATAGCTTTGCTCATCCCCATCTGCCAAATCTTTTCTAACCTTACTTAGTATCCTTTTATCTATATCTTGATCTCTTAAATCTCTTCCTTGATCTCTTATCATAAAGCCTATGATCATTTTATCTCCTGTTGAAAATTTTTCTTAAAATGTTCTTCATTTCCCCAAATAGTTCTTTTTTCAAAATATTTTCCTTATTTGCCTTTGTGTTTTCATTTATCTAATTTCTTTTTGGTAGTACTCATATACTGGTCTGAAGTTGTCATTTATATTAGAAGAGGGGAGTTTAAGTATCTATTTTTTATGATTAGTGTGATTGAATTTCTCTACTTATCAAGTAACTTTTCAAACATACTTCTATAACATGAGCTGTAAAGCTAGAATTGATTGGATATAACATCTATTCATCCTTCAGATGCTCTCAAAAGAAGGTAGAGGGAAGTAGAAGAGTGAATATAGTAGGGATGACCTAAAGTCAAATATAGTGTCTCCAAATATTTTCTTATTAAATTGGATGACTCATTTGTTCTGAGACCATGCCATGCTCCATAGAGTAGTTTTCTTAGATGTTAGGCATTGCCCATTACAGAGGCAGCAGCATCATTCGAAGGATTTTTCCACAGTAAGGTATTAGGATAAGAAAAATAGAGTACAACATGATCCTCCATCAGACCTGAACTCTCCTATTAGTCCCAATTTGCTATTTGCCACTCATATCCCTAGTGCTCTTATTTCCCAGTTAACTGTTACTGGTAAGTTCTTTCTTAATTTAGGGATACATGTATCAGCACTGGACATCTAACTTTAATTTAGTTCAAATATTATCAATGATGGCAGGGGCAGGCTGTCCAGAGTGGCCACTGCCATCACTCCAGCTGCAGGGAGGAGGTGCAAGCTGTGGCAGCAGGAGTGGCTGCGGAGGCAGCAATAGCAGCAGTAGATCCCCTGTGCCCCACATCCCTGAGGCAGCCAAGTGCACTGCCACCACCCTCGTGCAGCTGGATGGGACAGGTTCCTAGGCCCAGAGCCTCCGTCACTCCAGACCCTTCGCCACTCCAGACCCTCATTGCCAGTTGTCACCGCAGGGAGGGAGAATGGGGTTGGCACAGCTGAGCCTGGGACAGTACCATGTTTCACAGAACTTGAAGGAGCAAAAGACAAGTGGGAGCCCCCTGGAGCCAGCTGCCCCGGTGGCCACAGTGATGGGGCCTGGCCAACACACCCACTGGCAGGGGAGCAGCAAGGTTGGGCACAGAGGAATAGGCAGACAGGGGCCCAGTGAGGACTTTGAGACCCTGCCCGAGCTGAAAGGAAGCATGGCCAGAGCTGCCAGCATGCTCCACAGAGCAGACAGGAGCCCCAACCTCATAAGTGCAGGACCTGGGTGTCTGTGCACTCTGCACACTCAGGAACCCGGGAAGGCCCCCACTGTCCGCACAGCCTCAGGGGTGTCTTCTCCCATTGCCTGGCCTCTCGCCATTCCTGGTGCCCACTCCCAACTTGGAGTGTGATTGGGGCTAAGCACAGGCACTGTCATAGCCCAGCAGGATATGTGGATGCTTGAGGCAGCACTGACATGCCATCCCCCTGCTGCCTCAACCCCCTCTGGACTTTGAGCACCAACAAGCATTGGGGGGAACTTGAGCAGGGGTTGAGATGAACTCAGCACTGGCTTGCAGGTGACCCCTGGCCCAAGCAGCCTGAGCAGCCTGGGCACCATGGTCGCCAGCAGGGCACAGAGAGGATCCTGGGTGGAAGGGGCGAGTCGCTGGTGAGGCCACACCTACAACGGGACAACCAACTGAAGAGAGGAGCTACCCTCTCTGTTGGCAGCTGAGACGTATTGGGATGACCTGCCTGCAAAGAGGCGCTACCACTCCTAGGAGCTTAACGCTCCACAGGTCACCATGGCTATGGAAATGAGATGTACCCTGTGGATCTCTGAGTGTTCCTTTTTTTTTTTTTTAATTGCATTTTAGGTTTTGGGGTACATGTGCAGAGCATGCAATACAGTTGCATAGGTACACACATGGCAGTGTGTTTTGTTTGCTTTCACCCCTTCATCCACATTTGGCATTTCTCCCCAGGCTATCCCTCCCCTCCTCCCCCTCCCACTGGCCCTCCCCTTTCCCCCCAATAGACCCCAGTGTTTAGTACTCCCCTTTCTGTGTCCATGTGTTCTCATTTTTCATCACCCACCTATGAGTGAGAATATGCGGTGTTTCATTTTCTATTCCTGTGTCAGTTTGCTGAGAATGATGTTCTCCAGATTCATCCATGTCCCTACAAACGACACGAACTCATCATTTCTGATTGCTGCATAATATTCCATGGTGTATATGTGCCACATGTTATCAATCCAGTCTATCATCAATGGGCATTTGGGTTGATTCCAGGTCTTTGCTATTGTAAACAGTGCTACAATAAACATTCGTGTGCATGTGTCCTTATAGAATGATGTATTGCCCTTTGGGTATATACCCAGTAATGGGATTGCTGGGTCAAATGGAATTTCTATTTCTAAGGCCTTGAGGAATCGCCACACTGTCTTCCACAATGGTTGGACTAATTTACACTCCCACCAACAGTGTAAAAGTGTTCCTTTTTCTCCACATCCTCTCCAGCATCTGTTGTCTCCAGATTTTTTAATGATCGCCATTCTAACTGGCGTGAGATGGTATCTCAATGTGATTTTGATTTGCATCTCTCTGATGACCAGTGATGATGAGCATTTTTTCATATGATTACTGGCCTCATATATGTCTTCTTTCGTAAAGTGTCTGTTCATATCCTTTGCCACTTTTGAATGGGCTTGTCTGTTTCTTTCCTGTAAATCTGTTTGAGTTATTTGTAAATTCTGGATATCAGCCCTTTGTCACATGGGTAAACTGCAAAAATTTTTTCCCATTCTGTTGGTTGCCGATCCACTCTAGTGACTGTTTCTTTTGCCATGCAGAAGCTATGGAGTTTCATTAGGACCCATTTGTCTATTTTGACTTTTGCTGCCAATGCTTTTGGTGTTTTGGTCATGAAGTCCTTGCCTACTCCTATGTCCTGGATAGTTTGGCCTAGATTTCCTTCTAGGGTTTTTATGGTGCCAGGTCTTATGTTTAAGTCTTTAATCCATCTGGAGTTAATTTTAGTGTAAGGTGTCAGGAAGGGGTCCAGTTTCTGCTTTCTGCACATAGCTAGCCAGTTTTCCCAACACCATTTGTTAAATAGGGAATCTTTTCCCCATTGCTTGTTTTTATCAGGTTTATCAAAGATTGCATAGTTGTAGATATGTTGTGTTGCCTCTGGTGCCTCTGTTTTGTTCCATTGGTCTGTATCTCTGTTTTGGTACCAGTATCATGCTGTTTTGATTACTGTAGCCTTGTAGTATAGTTTGAAATCCGGTAGTGTGATGCCCCCCGCTGTGTTCTTTTTGCTTAGAATTGATTTGGCTATGCGGGCTCTCTTTTGGTTCCATATGAAGTTCATGGTGGTTTTTTCCAGTTCTGTGAAGAAAGTCAATGGTAGCTTGATGGGGATAGCGTTGATTCTGTAAATTACTTTGGGCAGTATAACCATTTTCACAATATTAATTCTTCCTAACCATGAACATGGAATGTTTCTCCATCTGTTTGTGTCCTCTCTGATTTCGTTGAGCAGTAGTTTGTAGTTCTCCTTGAAGAGGTCTCTTACGTTCCTTGTGAGTTGTATTCCAAGGTATTTTATTCTTTTGGTAGCAATTGTGAATGGCAGTTCGTTTCTGATTTGGCTTTCTTTAAGTCTGTTATTGGTGTAGACGAATGCTTGTGATTTTTGCACATTGACATTATATAATGAGACTTTGCTGAAGTTGCTTATCAGTTTCAGGAGTTTTTGGGCTGAGGCGATGGGGTCTTCTAGGTATACTATCATGTCGTCTGCAAATAGAGACAATTTGGCTTCCACCTTTCCTATTTGAATACCCTTTATTTCTTTTCCTTGCCTGATTGCTCTGGCTAGAACTTCCAGTACCATATTGAATAGGAGTGCTGAGAGAGGGCATCCTTGTCTAGTGCCGGATTTCAAAGGGAATGCTTCCAGTTTTTGCCCATTCAGTATGATATTGGCGGTTGGTTTGTCATAAAGAGCTTTTATTACTTTGAGATACATTCCATCGATACCGAGTTTATTGAGGGTTTTTAGCATAAAGGGCTGTTGAATTTTGTCAAATGCCTTCTCTGCGTCAATTGAGATAATCATGTGGTTTTTGTTTTTGGTTCTGTTTATGTGGTGAAGTACGTTGATAGACTTGCGTATGTTGAACCAGCCTTGCATCCCCGGGATGAATCCTACTTGATCATGATGAATAAGTTTTTTGATTTGCTGTTACAATCGGCTTGCCAATATTTTATTGAAGATTTTTGCATCTATGTTCATCATGGATATTGGCCTGAAGTTTTCTTTTCTTGTTGGGGGTCTGCCGGGTTTTGGTATCAGGATGATATTGGTCTCATAAAATGATTTGGGAAGGATTCCTTCTTTTTGGATTATTTGGAATAGTTTCAGAAGAAATGGTACAAGCTCCTCTTTGTGTGTCTTGTAGAATTCGGCTGTGAACCCGTCTGCACCTGGGCTTTTTCTGTGTGGTAGGCTCTTAATTGCTGCCTCGACTTCTGACCTTGTTATTGGTCTATTCATAGTTTCAGCTTCCTCCTGGTTTAGGCTTGGGAGGACACAGGAGTCCAGGAATTTATCCATTTCTTCCAGGTTTACTAGTTTATGTGCATAGAGTTGTTTGTAATATTCTCTGATGATGGTTTGAATTTCTGTGGAATCTGTGGTGATTTCCCCTTTATCATTTTTTATTGCATCTATTTGGTTGTTCTCTCTTTTCTTTTTAATCAGTCTGGCTAGTGGTCTGTCTATTTTGTTGATCTTTTCAAAAAACCAGCTCTTGGATTTATTTATTTTTTTTTTAAGGGTTTTTCGTATCTCAATCTCCTTCAGTTCAGCTCTGATCTTAGTTATTTCTTGTCTTCTGCTGGGTTTTGAGTTTTTTTTATCTTGCTCCTCTAGCTCTTTCAATTTTGACGGTAGGGTGTCAATTTTGGATCTCTCCATTCTCCTCATATGGGCACTTATTGCTATATACTTTCCTCTAGAGACTGCTTTAAATGTGTCCCAGAGGTTCTGGCATGTTGTGTCTTCGTTCTCATTGGTTTCGAAGAACTTTTTTATTTCTGCCTTCATTTCAATATTCAAGAGCCAGTTGTTCAGTTTCCGTGAAGCTGTGCGGTTCTGGGTCTGTTTCTGAATTCTGAGTTCTAACTTGATTGCACTATGGTCTGAGAGACTGTTTGTTATGATTTCAGTTGTTTTGCATTTGCTGATCAGTGCTTTACTTCCAATTATGTGGTCAATTTTAGAGTAGGTGTGATGTGGTGCTGAGAAGAATGTATATTCTGTGTATTTGGGGTGAAAAGTTCTGTAAATGTCTATCAGGTTTGCTTGCTCCAGGTCTGAGTTCAAGCCCTGGGTATCCTTGTTGATTTTCTGTCTGGTTGATCTGTCTAATTTGACAGTGGAGTGTTAAAGTCTCCCACTATTACTGTGTGGGAGTCTAAGTCTCTTTGTAAGTCATTAAGAACTTACCTTATGTATCTGGGTGCTCCTGTATTGGGTCCATATATGTTTAGGATCGTTAGCTCTTCTTGTTGTATCGATCCTTTTACCATTATGTAATGGCCTTCTTTTTCTCTTTTGATCTTTGTTGCTTAAAGTCTATTTTATCAGAGATGAGAATTGCAACTCCTGCTTTTTTTTGCTCTCCATTTGCTTGGTAAATCTTCCTCCATCCCTTTATTTTGAGTCTTTGTGTATCCTTGCATGTGAGATGGGTTTCCTGAATACAGCACACTGATGGGTTTTGGCTTTTTATCCAATTTGCCAGTCTGTGTCTTTTGATTGGTGCATTTAGTCCATTTACATTTAGGGTTAATATTGTTATGTGTGAATTTGATACTGCCATTTTGATGCTAAGTGGCCGTTTTGTCCGTTAGTTGTTGTAGATTCTTCATTATGTTGATGCTCTCTAGCATTTAGTGTGATTTTGGAATGGCTGGTACTGGTTGTTCCTTTCTATGTGTAGTGCCTCTTTTAGGAGCTCTTGTAAAGCAGGTCTGGTAGTGACAAAAATCTCTGAGCACTTGCTTGTTCGCAAAGGATTTTATTTTTCCTTCAGTTCTGAAGCTCAGTTTGGCTGGATATGAAATTCTGGGTTGAAAGTTCTTTTCTTTAAGAATGTTGAATATTGGCCCCCACTCTCTTCTGGCTTGTAGTGTTTCTGCCGAGAGATCTGCTGTGAGTCTGATGGGCTTCCCTTTGTGGGTGACCCGACCTTTCTCTCTGGCTGCCCATAGTATTTTCTCCTTCATTTCAACCTTGTTGAATCTGACGATTATGTGCCTTGGGGTTGCTCTTCTTGTGGAATATCTTTGTGGTGTATTTCTGTATTTCCTGCATTTGAGTGTTGACCTGTCTTGCTAGGTGGGGGAAATTTTCCTGGATGATGTCCTGAAGAGTTATTTTCCAGCTTGGATTCATTCTCTTCGTCCCCTTCTGGTACAGCTATCAAACTTAGGTTAGGTCTTTTCACATAGTCCCACATTTCTTGGAGACTTTGTTCATTCCTTTTTGTGCTTTTTTCTCTGATCTTGGTTTCTCGTTTTATTTCATTGAGTTGATCTTTGACTTCATATATTCTTTCTTCTGCTTGGTCAATTCGGCTATTGAAACTTGTGCACGCTTCGCGAAGTTCTCGTATTGTGTTTTTCAACTCCTTTAATTCATTCATATTCCTCTCTACGTTATCCATTCTTGTCATCATTTCCTCAAATCTTTTTTCATATCTTTTTTCAGGGTTCTTAGTTTCTTTGCATTGATTTAATACATGTTCTTTTAGCTCACAAAAGTTTCTCATTATCCACCTTCTGAAGTCTAATTCTGTCATTTCATCACCCTCATTCTCCGTCCAGCTTTGTTCCCTTGCTGGTGAGGACTTTTGGTCCTTTCTAGGAGGCGAGGTGTTCTGGTTTCGGGTGTTTTCCTCCTTTTTGCGCTGGTTTCTTCCCATCTTTGTGGATTTATCCACTTGTCGTCTGCATAGTTGCTGACTTTTCGATTGGGTCTCTTAGTGGACACCCAGATTGTTGGTGATGAAGTATTTCTGTTATTTGGTTTTCCTTCTTCCAGTCTAGCCCCTTCGCTGTACAACTGCTGAGGTCCACTCCAGGCCCTGCTTGTCTGGGGTGCACCTATAGCAGCTGCGGAACAGTGAGGGATGCTACCAGTTTCTTTTTCTGCTATCTTTGTCCCAGGATGATGCCTGCCAAATGTCAGTCTTTTGGATATAGAGGGGTCAGGGCTGCTTGAGGAGACAATCTGTACTTTATAGGAGCTCATGTACTGAGCTCTGTTGTTCATTCCGGGCTGTTAGGCTCCTATGTTTTATTCTGTTGCAACAGAGCTCATTAAAAAACCCCTTTTTTTCTCAAATGCTCTGTCATGGGGGGTTTGGGCTTTGTTTTTGGATGTCTGTTGAGGTGTCCTGCCCAGCTAGGAGGCAGTCTAATCACTATTTGACTGCCAAGGCTCCGCCCTGCTGTTGTGAAGTTCGCCCTGTTGCTGCAGGCTCTTGCTCTTCTGCTGCGGTCTCCGCCATGGGCTACGCCCTGCAGCGGAGTCTCTCTGTTGTAGCAGGTTGCCTCGGCAATGGCAGGCTGCGTCAGCAGTGGGCGTGTATCTCAGTAGGGGCGGGTTGCCTCGGCAACTGCAGGTTGCGTCAGCAGTGGGCATGTGTCTCAGTCGGGGAGGGTTGCCTCGGTAATGGTGGACGCCCCTCCCCGACAGAGTGCCTCAGGGACCGTCTCCACGGCGAGCATTTGGAATCGCCGTTTTGTCTGTCCCACTGCGCTATCCCGAATGCTGTGTCCCTGCAATCCCCTGGGCTGGCCCACTGCCCAAGTCCCTTTCAGTCTCAAGTTCAGCCCTCTCAAGTCTCAGGTTGCTGTTTCAACAGGGCACCCGGACAAGCGCGCCCTGTGGGGATCGCTGGGTAGGGCCGGCCGCCGCCACCCCGGCTGCCGGCTTCTCCATGCAGAGCCTCTGCCTGGTGTCCCACGTCTCCTTTATACTTGGGAATTTCCCCATTCTGTAGGCAACAAAGATCAGTCTGAAAATGCAGCTCTGACTCACCTCTCCGCGGATGAAGCGAGAGCTTCAATCCTGGGTTGTTCTCACAGCGCCATCTTGAGTTCCTCTCTCTCTGAGTGTTCTATCACTCCAAAAAGCTCCTCTTCCTCTTGGTCACCCTTCATTTGTCTGTGTACCTCATTCTTGCTGGTCGCAGGACAAGAACTTGGAACCCACCAAATGGCAGGGCTAAACGTGCTTTAATACTAACAGGGCTGAAACATGCCCCTTGCTTGCCACATTCCAAGCAAAGAGAAGGAGACAAGAGCTGTGGCCATTTGGGGAAACTAGACCTACGAGTTCCCAGAGCCAGGACTGTGACTCCCTCTTTGGGGTCCTGTGGTTCATGGTGTCTATAAGCTTCTGGGTGCCACCGCACTCCCTGGTACCAGCTGGGGAAGCTGCTTGCCTTGCACTGGGTCTAGCTGCACCCTTGCAGAGAGCTGGAGACCATGTCAGCACCTGGGGCTGCCTGCCCTGTGACAGCAGTAGACAAGTCTGACTGCACAGTGGCTGGACCCCATGATCACTCATACACTCTTCCCCACTCCATGCTTGGCTTGCAGTCTCCCTGGGAGGCATGGGATCAAGGCTGGTAGCATGAGGTGAGCGCAGCCTACCAGGCTGAGTGGGTTGAATGAGCCCAGCAGGCCCAAGTAAAATTTGGGCAAAGGTGCCACCAGCCACAGGTTTCCAGCCAGAAAAGCAACCCCCAAAGAGCTCATGACAAGACTATCTAGAAAATAATCTTTTCCATAAAGGTAATGGAGCAAAAGTCACTGCTATTGTATCATTTATGGCTAAAGCTTACGCCTCTATCTTTGGTTCTTTTTGTCCTTTTCAGAGAGTGTTTCAGGAAAGCAATCAGCTCAATCCGTTATCCTTCTTAGAACTCCTAGAATTCCAGTTTTTACATAAGTTTCTGACAATTTAAAGTAAGTGATGAAAGGAGATCAAATAATAGACCTTTTAATTTGTGATAATATTTAAATTTTGTCAAACTTTAAGTGTTCTAAGACATTTTCAATAATTTAGCTCTTTTAAGGTACAAGCAAACAAATTATCTTTACCTTTCAGTTGATCCTATGACATTGTCAATATTCTACAACTTTTCTGAAAGGTGTGTGAGTCACATATCCTGATGTTTGCATTTGATGCCTAAAATTATCCTGGACACATTTTCTCAAATGAGCACCAATTGTTTTCAATGGACTAACCCTACCATTGGGTTCGCCATTCCTATCCAAAATAGAAAGGAAAAATAAAAACATGAAGATATTGAAAGATAACTGAAACTTTTTTTTTAAGTTGAAGATGATTTCAAGATGATTAAATAAGTCCTGCTCAAAGCAAACAGGTCTCCTTTTACCAAGAACAACTAATGACTAAATATAAACAGAAAGTGGTTTGATTTGTTTAATATAAATATCAGAATTTAGATAATCATAGCAGATAAGACATTAATGATAATCACTCTCTGAAATACTCTTGGAATTCCCTTTTAGAACAGCTTTCACAACCACTATTTCATTAATTTCAATGTTAGCAATTACTTAACTATCTGAATTATTTAATGCTCTAATTCAGGCACAAAAAGTGATTCTTAACTGGGAATAATTTTTCTCTTCAAGGGACGTTGGGCAATGTCTAGAAACAGTTTTGGTTGTTACAATTTGTGAGGTGGGGAACACTACTGGCACTGAATCGGTAAAGGCCAGGAATGTAGCTAAATATCCTAAAGTGCGTAGAACAGCCCCACAACAAAGAACTGATCATCCCAACACGTCAATAGTGCCAAGGCGAGGAACCCCGCGCTAGAGTCAAGAATGACAAAAAAGATGGGAGACTGCTTTAGCATAGTCTCTTGCATTCTGTGGGCATTTAACAAATATTTCTTGGATGAAGGAATAATTAAGGGAAATGACACTGTTTAAGATAAATTTTCATCCCAAAACATAAAGATCTATACAGTGGCTCCAAATATATTGTTATGGGGAACACTGTATAGCTTTCGAAGAAGATTATTTTGAAGGACAAAATTTTGAAAGTATGTAATAATATAAATGCTTTAAAAGCCATATACAACTAAAGACACAAGAAATCTGAGAAGACTACATCTTTTCATCATATTACTTACAGAGTTTTATAAGACAGGAAAAATAAACTACTGATGAGCAGCCAATACCTTCTGCTCATCTATAAAGTTTCAAAGAACTTATTTATTTCTGCCTTAATTTTGTTATTTATCCAGTAGTCATTCAGGAGCAGGTTGTTCGGTTTCCATGCAGTTGTGTGGTTTTGAGTGAGTTTCTTAATCCTGAGTTCTAATTTGATTATGCTGTGGTCTGAGAGACTGTTCATTATGATTTCCATTCTTTTGCATTTTCTGAGAAGTGTTTTACTTCTACATATGTGGTCAATTTCAGAATAAGTAATATGTGGTGCTGAGAAAAATGCATATTCTACTGATTTGTGGTGGTGAGTTCTGTAAATGTCTATTAGGTCCACTTGGTCCAGAGCTAAGCTAAAGTCCTGAATATCCTTATTAATTTTCTTCTCGTTGATCTATCTAATATTGACAGTGGGGTGTTAAAGTCTCCCACTATAATTGTGTGGGAGTCTAAGTCTCTTTGAAGGTCTCTAAGAACTTGCTTTATGAATCTGGGTGGTCCTGCATTGGTGCATATATATTTAGGACAGCTCTTCTTATTGCATTGATCCCATTATGTAATGCCCTTCTTTGTCTTTTTAAATCTTTGTTTAAAAGTCTTTTCATCAGAGACAAGATTGTAACCCTGCTTATTTCGCTTTCCATTTGCTTTGTAAATCTTTCTCCATCCCTTTATTTTGAGCCTATGTCTGTCTTTGCACATGAGATGGGTCTCCTAAATACAGCAAACTGATGGATCTTGACTCTTTATCCAATTTGTCCATCTGTATCTTTTAATTGGGGCATTCAGCCCACATACATTTAAAGTTAATATTGTTACATGTGAACCTGATCCTATCATTATGATGCTAGCTGGTTATTTTGCACATTTGTTGATGCTGTTCTCCATAGTGTTGATGGTCTTTACATTTTGGTATGTTTTTGAAGTGACTGGTACTGGTTTTTCCTTTCCATGTTTAGTGCTTCCTTCAGGAGCTCTTGTAAGGCAGGCCTGGTGGTGACAAAATCCCTCAGTATTTGCTTGTTTGTAAAGGATTTTATTTCTCTTTCGTTTATGAAGCTTAGTTTGGCTGGCTATGAAGTTCTGGGTTGAAAATTCTTTTCTTTAAGAATGTTAAATATTGGCCCCCACTGTCTTCTGGCTTTTCAGATTTCTCCAGAGAAATCTGCTGTTAGTCCAATGGGCTTCCCTTTTTTGGGTAACTTGACCTTTCTCTCTGGCTGCCCTTAATATTTTTCCCTTCACTTCAACCTTGGTGAATCTGATGATTATGTGCCTTGGGGTTCTTCTTCTCAAGGAGTATCTTTGTGGTATTCTCTGTATTTCCCAAATTTGAATGTTGGCCTGTCTTGATAGATTGAGAAAGTTCTCCTGGATAATATCCTAAAGAATGTTTTCTAACTTGGTTCCATTCTCCCTGTCATTTTCAGGTATACCAATCAATTGTAGGTTTGGTCTTTCCACATAGCCCCGTATTTCTTGAAGGCTTTGTTAATTCCTTCTTATTTTATTTTTCTCTATATGCTTCATTAAGTTGATCTTCAATACCTGATATCCTTTCTTCCACGTGATCAATTTGACTACTTACTGATACTTGTGCATGCTTCACAAAGTTCTTGTGCTGTGTTTATCAGCTCCATTGAGTCATTTATGGTCTTTTCTAAACTGGTTATTCTAGTTAGCAGTTCCTGTAACCTTTTGTCAAGGTTCTTAGCTCACTTGCATTGGGTTAGAACATGTTCCTTTAGCTCAGAGGAATTTGTTATTACCCACCTTCTGAAGTCTACTTTTGTCAATCTGTCAAACTCATTCTGTCCAGTTTTCTTCCCTTGCTGGCAAGGAATTGTGATCCTTTGGAAAAAAAGAGTCATTCTGATTTTTGGAATTTTCAGCATTTTTGCACTGGTTTTCCTCATCTTCGTGAATTCATCTACCTTTGATCTTTGATGCTCATGACCTATGGATGAGGTTTCTCCATGAGGGTCCTTTTTGTTGGTGTTGATATTATTGCATTCCGTTTGTTAGTTTTACTTCTTACAGCCAGGCCCCTCTTCTACAAGTCTGCTGGAGTTTGCTGGAGGTCCACTCCAGGCCCTGTTTGCTTAAGTATCACTAGCAGAGGCTGCAGAACAGCAAAGATTGCTACCTGCTCCTTCCTCTGGAAGCTTTGTCCCAGAGGGGCATCTACTAGATGCCAGCTTGAGCTCTCCTGTATGAGGTGTCTGTTGACCTGTGCTGCAAGGTGTCTCCCAGTCAGGAGGCATGGGGGTCAGGGACCCACTTGAGGAGGCAGTCTGTCCCTTAGCTGAGCTCGAACGCTTTGCTGGGAGATCTGCTGCTCTCTTCAGAGCCAGGAGGCAGGAAAGTTTAAGTCTGCTGAAGCTGCGCCTACAGCCGACCCTTTCCCCAGGTGCTCTGTACAAGGGGACATGGGAGTTTTATCTATATGCCCCTGACTGGGGCTGCCGCCTCTCTTTCAGAGATGCCCTGCACAGAGAGGAGGAATTTAGAGAAGGAGTCTGGCTACAGCAGCTTTGCTAAGCTGAAGTGGGTTCCAACCAGTTCCCAGCTAAATTAAAAACAATTATTTTGATAATTTTTTCAATAAATTTTGCTGCATATTAACACCTCTCATATGAACACTGAATTAACAATTTGCTCTTATCTAATATGGATGTAGGAACAAAAACTGAATCAGATTATGCTTTTACATAAGTCTTTAATGACAGCAAATAATTAAACCTAGATGAAATCAATTTAGTGACATATTAAAATCATTTCTTTATTTTAGTTATGAATTATTCCTAAAGAAGATTTTTAGGACAGCTGGACTGTTAATGTAATTCATGTGGTTAAACTTGCAATACTTCACATCGTGTCACTATATTCTTCTCCAGAGAAGAAATCTCATTTTTATAACCTCACCATGTAGCAGATCATTGAGTATATATTAGATACTCAATAAATGTTTATTGAACTAAACTGAAAGCAGTGAACTTCAGGAGCTGATGTTATTCTAAAGCTGTATGAATGATAATAAAATAGACTAAACAATGTAAAGGAAACAATTAGAATTGTATTATACCAATTTATCTAGGACAGTAGGCTTCAAAGATATATTAAAACTCAATCAGAAAAACACCAAAAAGAAAAATGTGATGATTCTGAAATTTGGGCCTGTAGCTATCAACCTTTGTTTTAAAACAAACAAACAAACAAAAAAACCCAAAAACTTTGGCTGGGCATAGTGGCTGACACATGAAATCCCAGTACTTTGGGAAATGGAGGTTGTAGGATCACTTGAGGCCAGGAGTTTGAGAGCAGTCCATGCAACATAGGAAGACCTCATCTCCAAAGAAAATTTAAAAATTTGTTAAGTGTCGTGGCATGTGCCTATAGTCCTAGTTACTCAGGAAGCTGAGGTGGAAAGACCACTTAAGTCCAGCAGTTTGAGGATGCAGTGATCTATGATTGTGCCACCACAGTCAATACTGCACTTCAGACTGGGTGACAGAGTAAGAACCCTATCTCTTAAGAAAAAAACATAACATGGGAAGAAATGTCACATATAGGTGATGGGGAAGAAGGCAGCAAACCACATTGACATGTATGTACCTATGCAACAATCTTGCATGTTCTTCACATGTACCCGAAAAACTAAAATGCACTTAAAAAAAAGAGAGAGAGAGAGAGAAACATCCATATAGCCCAGTATATTACATGTTTTCTTTTCATTATTCTTTTTTGAAATCACCTTCATTATTATGGCAAACTAAATGTAACATAAAATTTAACATCTTAAACTTCAACTTACTTTTAATGCACTCTTTTTTCATTAACACCTCAGGTCTTGCTTGAGAGTCTTGCTATAGGATATCTGAATGAAGATACTCAAACATCAGAGAAATTGTCTAGGATAGAATTTTCTTGTAAAATGTTTTCTAAAACCTAATTTTACTTAACTTACACTATGCTTTCTTTAGAAACAGTTATTAATCAACTACTAAGAAATAGTAAGTTAATTCTAGAAAAGGTTAATGATGCTATTACTCAAGAACTAGAGGCAGAAAAATCCTACCTATTCCACTTACTAGCTGTTACCTTGGACATCTTACATAATTCTGTGTGATTTGTAAAAGGAATAAAATAACTTTACCAATTTCACAGGATTCTTAAAGAATAACTATTTGTAAAGCAACTTAGAATAGTTAGTATATTCTATAAGGTTTTCTAAAGAAAAAAGTAAAATTATATGTCTTAGGAATATTTAACTGGGGTTCTCTGAATTTACTGAATTTGAACACTGCCCTGTCTAGCTAGGTTGGGAAAGTTCTCATGGAAGATATCCTGAATTATGTTTTCGAAATTAGTTCCATTCTTCCCAGCATTTTCAGGTACAAATCAGTTATAAATTCCCATGTTTTTTCAAGGTTTTCTTCATTCCTTTTTATTCTTTTTTCTCTGTTCTTATCTGCCTGACTTAATTCAGAGAGACAGTCTTTAAGCTCTGAGATTTTTTACTATGCCTGTTCTATTCCACTATTAATACTTGTGATTGCATTATGGAATTCTTATAGTGTGTTTTTCAGCTCTGTTAGGTTGGTTACATTCTTCTCTATACTGGAGATTTTGTCTGTTGTCTCCTGCAATGTTTTATCATATTTAGTTTCCTTGCATTTGCTTCCAACATACTCCTTTAGCTCAGTGAAGTTCGTTTATACCCATATTCTGAATTTTATTTCTGTCATTTCAGCCATCTCAGCCTCAGCCCAGTTCTGAACCCTTGCTGGAGAGGTAATGAGAGTCATTGGGAAGAAAGAGTGTACTCTGGCTTTTTTTAGCTTTCAGTGTCTTGCACTGATTCTTTCTCATCTTTGTGGGCTTATCTACCTTCAATCATTCAGGTTGCTGACCTTTGGATTTTTTTTTAATACAAATTGGCAACTTTTCCATATGGTTGCTGTGGTTTGCTGGGACTTCATTTGGTCTAGTCCCTAGGCACCTCAAATTTTTGGGTACCTGGAGGTATCAGCAGTGAAGGCTGAGAAACAGGAAAGACGGCAGCCTTCCCCTTCCACTAAGAGCTCTGTACCAAGGAGGTATGGACCCGTTGCCAGCCCAAATGCACCTATAAGAGGAGACTGAGTACCCCAGTTGGGAGGTCTCACCTAAGCAGGAGAAATAGGATTGGGGACTTGCTAAAAGAAGCAGTCTGGTCACACTTCCATAGAAAAATTGTGCTGTGCTGGGGTCTGCTTCTATCCCAGTTGGCTTCAGCTCTCCAGGGTTGAAATGAAAAAGAAAAATGTTAAGGGCAGTGAGAAATAAATGCCAGGTCACCTACAGAGGGAAGTCCATCAGACTAACATTGAAAGTTTCATTGGAAACCCTATAAGCCAAAAGAGACAAGCGGGCCAATATTTCAACATTCTTAATGAAAAAAATTACAACTCAAAATTTCTTATCTGGCCAAACTAAGCTTCTTATGAAGGAGAAATAAGATCCTTTCCAGACAAGCAAATGCTGAGGGACTTCATTATTACTAAACCTGCCTTACAAGAGCACGAAATATGGAAAGGAGAGAACATTAGCAGCCACTGCAAAACACACTGAAGTACACAGACCAGGTACACTATAAAGCAACCACATAAACAAGTCTGTAATAACTAGCTAATGACACGAGGACAGGAACGAATCAACACATTTTCAATACTAACCTTAAATGTAAATGGGCTTAATGCCTTAAATAAAAGACACAGAGTGGAAAGCTGGATAAAGGACCAAGACTCATTGGTATGGTGTCTTTAAGAGACCCATCTCACATGCAGTGTCATACATAGGCACAAAATAAAGGGATGGAGGAAAATCTACCAAGGAAATGGAAAACAGAAAAGAGCAGGGGCTACTATCCTACTTTCTGAAAAAAAAAAAAAAAAAAAAAAAAAACAGACTTTAAAACAACAAAGGTTTTTTTAAAAAATACAAAGATGGGCATTACACAATGGTAAGGACTGTATTTACACCCTTTATCAACTGGCTATTTGTAGACTTTTTTATGTGGTTGCTTTATAGCGTGCCTGATCTATGTACTTCTGTGCGCTTTGTAATGGATGCTAATGGTCTTTTCTTTCCATACTTAGTTTCTTTCCATACTTCCATCAGCAGCTCTTATAAGGCAGGTCTGGTGGTAACAAATTCTCTCAGCCTTTGCTTTTCTGAAAAAGATCTTATTTCTCTTATTTCTATTCAACAAGAACTAACTATAAAAGCACAACATACCAGAAGCTCTTGGACATGGCTAAGGCAGTGTTAAATGGGACATTTTTAGTACTAAATACCGACATGAAAAACTTACAAATACCTCAATTTAACAATCTAACATCACAACTAAAAGAACTAGAGAACCAAGAGCAAACGAATCCCAAAGCTAGAAGAAGACAAGAAAAAAACAAAATCAGAGCTGAACTGAAGGAGAAAAAGACCCCAAAAAAATTCAAATGATAAACAAATATAGAAGCTTCCTTTCTGAAAAAAAAAATCAATGCGATAGACCATTAACTAAATAATAAAGAAGAAAGAAAAGAAGATTCAAATAAACACAATCAGAGACAATGAGGATACTACCACTCAACCCACAGAACTACAAATAACCATCAGAGAATATTATAAACACCTCTATGCACAACAAGTAGAATATCTAGAACTAACAGATACATTTCTGGACACATACACACTCCCAAGACTAAACCAGGAAGAAACTGAATCCCCAAGACGACCAATAATGAGTACTGAAATTGAGTACTACCATTTACCAACCTCCCCCGCCATGAAAAAAAAAAAGCCCAGGACCAGATAGATTCACAGCTGAATTCTACCAGATGTACTAAGAAGAGCTGGTATCTTTCCTATTGAAACTATTCCAAAAATTGAAAAGGAGGGATTCCTCCCTAATGCACTCTACAAGGCCAGTCTCATCCTGATACCATAACCTGGAAGAGAGACAACAAAAAATGAAAACTTCAGGCCAATATTATTGATGAACATGGACACAAAAATCCTCAATGAAATATTGGCAAACCAAATTGAGCACCATGTCAAAAAGCGTATTCACTATGATCAAGTAGGCTTAATTCCTAGGATGCAAGGTTGGTTCAACATGTGCAAATCAAGAAATGTGATTCATCATATAAACAGAACTAAAGACTAAAACCACATCATTGGCCAGGGATGGTGGCTCATGCCTGTAATCCCAGCACTTTCGGAAGCCGAGACAGGTGGATCACAAGGTCAGGAATTCAAGATCAACCTGGCCGGAGATGGATCCAAGATGGCTGATTAGGAGCAGCTCAGGATTGTGGCTCCCAGTGAAAGCGCGGAGGGTGAGTGGATGCCGCATTTCCAGATGGATTTTTATTGCCCATAGACCAGGAGATTCCCAGGTGGAGGAGCCCCACAGGTTGCCAGCACAGCTGTCTTGGCCGGCAAGCCTGTTTTGGCTGGCGCCCTGGCAAGACAGTTGTCTGCACAAAATACATGGGTCCAGGTGCCATTTTAGCTGGTGATTGTAGCTCCCGGGATAGAAAGTCACCCATTCAACTGACAAAAAAAAAAGGGGGACTGAAACAGGGAGCCAGGCCAGGAGATTCCTAGGCAAGAAAGCACCACTAATCTCAGCACTGCTGTTTTAGCCAGTGCAGTGGGTCACTGCATGTGAAATCACACAGATCCTGGCACCTTTCAACAGGTGACCAGAACACCTGGGACAGTCACCCATTCAACTCAAAAAAAAGGGTTCTGAGGCAGGGAGCCAGGTGATCAAGTTCGGCTGGTCCCACCCCCACAAAAAAACAGCAATCTGAAATGCCCTGGATTGAGAGTTTCACAGCAAGCATAGCTGAACCCGGGATGGTCCAGCTCTGTGGGGGAGGGATGTCCGCCTTTACTGAGGCAGTCCACCACTACATCATTGCTGAGGCGGCCAGCCCTTGCTGAGGCAGCCTGCCGTTACACAGAGAGTCAGCAATTACAGAGGTGGGCTGCCATTGCCAAGGCAGTTCTAACTATACTCATATAAACAGGACTGCAGGGAAGTACACACAGCAGCTGGGCAGAGCCTACAGTAGCTCAGCAAAGCCTATGTGGAAGACAGTGACTAGGCTGCCTCCTCGCTGGGCAGGGCAGCCCTGAAAAAAGCCAGCAGCAAAACAGAAACTCATCAATAAAGCCCTAACTCCCCGGGACATAGCACCTGGGGGAAAAAAAAGTGGGTTTATGAGTTCTGCTGCAGCAGACTTAAACATACCTGCCCAGCAGCTCTGAATGAACAATGGAGCTCACAGCTCAGCACTTGAGCTCCTATAAAGGACAGACTGTTTCCTCAATCAGCTCTCTGACCCCCGTATATGCAAAGAGTCACCTCATAAAGGAGAGCTCAGACTGACATCAGGCGGGTATCTTTCAGGGACAAAGATAGCAGAAGAAGAAACTGGAAGTAACCCTTATTATTCTGCAGCCGCTGCAGGTGATTCCCAGGCAAGCAGGGCCTGTAGTGGACCTCAGCAGTCCTACAGCAGAGGGGCCAGACTGTTAGAAGGAAAACTAAGAAACAGAAAGAAATAACTTCATCATCAACAAACCAGGCATCCACTCGAGACCCACTCTGAAAGTAAACAACTAAAAAGACGACAGGTGAATAAATACACAAAGATGGTAAGAAACCAGCGCAAAAAGGATGAAAACACCTGAAACCAGAATACCTCTTCTCCTCCTACAAAGGATCACAACTCCTCACCAGCAAAGGAACAAGGATGGATGGAGAATAAGTGTGATGAATTGACAGCATCAGGCTTCAGAAGGTAGGTAATAAGAAACTTCCGTGAGCTAAAAGAACACATCCTAACCCAATGCAAAGAAACTATGAACCTTGAAATAAGATTTGAGGAAATACTAATGAGAATAAACAACTTAGAGAAGAATATAAGTGAATTGATGGAGCTCAAAAACACAACACGAGAACTTCACGAAGCATAAACAAGTTTCAACAGCCAAATTGACCAAGCAGAAGAAAAGATATCAGAGGTCGAAGATCAACTCGAAATAAAATGATAAGGCAAGATTAGAAAAAAAAGGTTAAAAAGGAATCAACTAAGTCTCCAGGTAATATGGGACTATGTGAAAAGACCTAATCAGCTTTTGATAGGTGTACCTGAATGTGACAAAGAGAATGAATCCAAGCTGGAAAATACTCTTCAGGATATTATCCAGGAAAGCTTCCCCAAACTAGCAAGGGAGGCCAATATTCAAGTCCAGGAAATACAGAGAACACCACAAAGATATTCCTCAAGAAGAGCAACCCTAAAGCTCATGATCATCAGATTCACCAGGGTTGAAATGAGGGAGAAAATGCTAAGGGCAGCTAGAGAGAAAGGTCGGGTTACCAACAAAGGGAAGCCCATCAGACTCACAGCAGATATCTCAGCAGAAACCCTACAAGCCAGAAGAGAGTGGGGGCCAATACTCAACATCCTTAAAAAAAAGAACTTTCAACCCAGAATTTCATATCCAGCCAAACTAAGCTTCATAAGTGAAGGAAAAATAAAATCTTTGGTGAACAAGCAAGTAGTCCGAGATTTCATCACCACTAGGCCTGCTTTACGAGAGCTCCTGAAAGAAACACTAAACATAGAAAGGAACAACCAGTACCAGTCACTCCAAAAACATACCAAATGGTAAAGAGCATCAACACAATGAAGAAACTGCATCAACTAATCGGCAAAACAGCCAGCTACCATCAAAATGGCAGGATCAAATTCACACATAACAATATTAATTCTAAATGTAAATGGGCTAAATGCCCCAATCAAAAGATACAGACTGGCAAATTGGATGGAAAGCCAAAACCCATCGATGTGCTGTATCCAGGAAACCCATCTCACATGCAAGGATACACAAAGGTTAAAAATAAAGGGATAGAGAAAGATTTACCAAGCAAATGGAGAGCAAAAAAAAACCAGGAGTTGCAACTCCCATCTCATATAAAATAGACTTTAACCCAACAAAGATCAAAAGAGACAAAGAAGGACATTACATAATGGTAAAAGTATCAATGCAACAAGAAGAGCTAACTATCCTAAATGTATACACACCCAATACAGGAGCACCCAGATACATGAAGCAAGTTCTTAATGACTTAGAAAGAGACTTAGACTCCCATACAATAGTGGGAGACTTTAACGTCTCATTGTCAATATTAGACAGATCAACAAGACAGAAAATTGACAAGGATATCCAGGACTTTAACTCAGACCTGGAACAAGCAAATATAATAGACATCTACAGAACTCTCTACCCCAAATCCACAGAATATACGTTCTTCTCAGCACCACATCACAACTACTCTAAAATTTACCACATACTTGGAAATCACTCCTCAGCAAATGCAAAACAATGGAAATCATAACAAACAGTCTCTCAGACCACAGCACAATCAAGTTAGAACTCAGAATTCAGACACTAACTCAGAAGTGCACAGCTTCATGGAAACTGAACAACTGGCTCTTGAATGATGACTGAATAAATCATGAAATGAAGGCAGAAATAAAGATATTCTTTGAAACCAATGAGAACCAAGACACAACATACCAGAATCTCTGGGACACATTTAAAGCAGTGTCTAGAGGAAAATACATAGCAATAAATGCCCACATGAGAAGGAAGGAAAGATCTAAAATTGACACCCTATCATCAAAATAGAAAGACCTAGAGGAGCAAGATCAAAAAAATTCAAAACCTAGCAGAAGACAAGAAATAACTAAGACCAGAGCAGAACTAAAGGAGAGACACAAAAAAACCCTTCAAAAAAATCAATAAATCCAGGAACTGGTTTTTTGAAAAGATCAACAAAATAGACAGACGGCTAGCCAGATTAATAAAAAAAGAAAAGAGAATAATCAAATAGATGCAATAAAAAACAATAAAGGGGATATCACCACAGATTCCACAGAAATTCAAACCATAATCAGAGATTATTACAAACATCTCTATGCAAATAAACTAGTAAACCTGGAAGAAATGTAAATTCCTGGACACTTGCATCCTCCCAAGCCTAAACTAGGAAGAAGCCAAAACCCTGAATAGACCAATAACAAGGTCTGAAGTTGAGGCAGCAATTAAGAGCCTACCACACAAAAAAAGCCCAGGTCCAGATGGGTTCACAGCCAAATTCTACCAGACATACCTAGAGGAGCTGTTAACCACTACTTCTGAAACTATTCCAAACAATCCAAAAAGAGGGAATCCTTCCCAAATCAATTTATGAGACCAACATCAACCTGATACCAAAACCTGGCAGAGACTCAGCAAGAAAAGAAAACTTCAGGCCAATATCCATGATGAACATAGATGCAAAAATCTTCAATAAAATACTGGCAAACCGATTGCAACAGCACATCAAAAAGCTTATCCACCACGATCAAGTAGGCTTCATCCCGGGGATGCAAGGCTGGTTCAACAAGCACAAGTCTATAAATGTAATACACCACATAAACAGAACCAAAGACAAAAACCACATGATTATCTCAATTGATGCATGGAAAGCCTTTGACAATATTCAGCAGCCCTTTATGCCAAAACCCCTCAATAAACTAGGTATTGACAGAATGTATCTCAAAATAATAAAAGCTATTTATGACAAACTAGTAGCCAATATCATACTGAATGGACAAAAAATGTAAGATTTCTCTTTGAAATCTGGCACTTGACGAGGATGCCCTCTCTCATGACTCCTGTTCAATAAAGTATTGAAAGTTCTAGCCAGAGCAATCAGGCAAGAAAAAGAAATAAAGGGTATTCAAATAGGAAAGGAGGAATTCAAATTGTCCCTATCTGCAGATGACATAATTGTATATTTAGAAGACCCCATCGTCTCAGCCCAAAATCTCCTGAAATGGATAAGCAACTTCAGCAAAGTCTCAGGATACAAAATCAATGTGCAAAAATCACAAACATTCCTATACACTAATAACAAACTTAAAGAGAGCCAAATCAAGAATGAACTGCCATTCACAATTGCTACAAAGACAATAAAATACCTGGGAATACAATTAACAAAAGATGTAAAGGACCTCTTCAAGAAGAACTATAAACCACTGCTCAACAAAATAAGAGAGGACACAAACAGATGGAGAAACATTCCATGCTCATGGTTAGAAAGAATCAATATCATGAAAATGATCATACTGCCCAAAGTAATTTACAGATTCAATGCTATCCCCATCAAGCTACCAATGATCTTCTTCACAGAACTGTAAAAAACCACCATGAACTTCATATGGAACCAAGAGAGCCCGCATAGCCAAGTCAATTCTAAGCAAAAGAAAAAAAAACAAAGTGGGAGGCATCACACTACCAGACTTCAAACTAACTACAAGGCTATAGTAATCAAAACAGCATGGTACTGGTACCAAAACAGAGATATAGACCAATGGAACAGAACGGAGGCCTCAGAGGCAACACCATGCATCTACAACCATCCGATCTTTGAGAAACTTGACAAAAATAAGCAATGGGGAAAGGAGTACCTGTTTAATAAATGGTGTTGGGAAAACTGGCTAGCCATGTGCAGAAAGGAGAAACTGGACCCCTTCCTGACACCTTACACTAAAATTAACTCCAGATGGATTAAAGACTTAAACATAAGACCTAACACCATAAAAACCGTAGAAGAAAATCTACACAAAACCATTCTGGACATAGGCGTAGGCAAGGACTTCATGAACAAAACACCAAAAGCATTGGCAACAAAAGCCAAAATAGATAAATGGGACCTAATCAAACTCCACAGCTTCTGCACAGCAAAAGAAACAGTCATTAGAGTGAATCGGCAACCAACAGAATGGGAAAAAATTTTTGCAATCTACCCCTCTGACAAAGGGCTGGTATCCAGAATCTACAAAGAACTAAAACAGATTTACAAGAAAAAAACAAAAAGCCCATTCAATAGTTGCTAAAGGATATGAACAGACAGTTTACAAAAGAAGACGTACACGAGGCCAACACACATATGAAAAAATGCTCATCATCACTGGTCATTAGAGAAATGCAAATCAAAACTATTGAGAGGTGGTATTGAGATACCGCCTCACGCCAGTTAGAATGGCGATCATTAAAAAATCTGGAGACAACAGATGCTGGAGAGGATGTGGAGAAATAGGAACACTTTTACACTGTTACTGGGAGTATAAATTAGTTCAACCATTGTGGAAGACAGTGTGGCAGTTCCTCAACGACCTAGAAATAGAAATTCCATTTGACCCAACAATCCCATTACTGGGTATATATCCAGAGGATTATAAATTGTTTTACTATAAGGACACATGCACACGAATGTTCACTGTAGCACTGTTTCCAATAGCAAAGACCTGGAACCAACCCAAATGCCCATTGGTGATAGACTGGACAGGGAAAATGTGGCACAGAGACACCATGGAATACTATGCAGCCATCAAAAATGATGAGTTCATGTCCTTTATAGGGACATTGATGAACCTGGAAACCATCATTCTCAGCAAACTGACACAAGAAAAGAAAATCAAACACCACATGTTCTCACTCATAGATGGGTGTTGAACAATGAGAATACATGGACATAGGGAGGGGAGCATCACACACTGGGGTCTGTTGGGGGGGAATTAGAGGAGGAACAGTGGAGGGGGTGGGGAGTTGGGGAGAGATAGCATGGGGAGAAATGCCAGATATAGGTGATGGGGAGGAAGGCAGCACATCACACTGCCATGTGTGTACCTATACAATAATCTTGCATGTTCTTCACATGTACCCCCAAACCTAAAATGCAATAAAAAAAAAGACCAGCCTGGCCAACATAGTGAAACTCCACCTCTAGAAAAAACACACACACACACATCATTATCTCAGTAGATGCAGAAAACACTTACAATAAAATTCAACATCCATTCATGTGCAAAACTCAATAAACTAGGTATTGAAGGAAGATCTCAAAATAATAAGACTCATGTATGACAAAATCACAGGAAACATCATACTAAATGGGCAAAAGCTGAAAGCATTCCCCCCAAAAAATGGCACAAAATAAGGATGCCCTCTCTCACCACTCCTATTCTACATACTAATGGAAGTTCTGGCCAAGGTAATCAGGCAAGACAAAGAAATAAATGGCATTAAAATGGTCAGCAAACTATCCCTCCAGTTTCTAGATTCTATATCTAGAAAACCACATTGTCTCAGCCCAAAAGCTTCTTAAGCTGAGCAACCACTTCAGCAAAGTTTCAGGAGACAAAATCAATATACAAAAGTCACTAGCATTCCTATACACCAACAACAGCCAAGGTGAGAGCCAAATCAGGAATGCAGTCTCATTCACTGCTGAAACAAAAAGAATAAAATACCTAGGAATACAGCTAAGTAGGGAAGTAAAAGCTCTCTGCAAGGAAAACTACAAACCATTGCTCAAAAAAATAAGAGAAGGAAAACAAATTTTTTTAATTAAAATAAAAAATAAAGACAGGACACAAATAAATAAATCCATGTTCACGAATAGGAAGAATCAATATTGTTAAAATGGCCATACTGCTCAAAGGAATTCAAAAATTCAATGCTATTCCCATCAAACCACCATTGGCATTCTTCACAGAACTAGAAATAAACTATGTAAAAATTCATATGGAACCAAAAATGAGCCAGAATAGTCAAGACAATCCTAAACAAAAAGAACAAAGCAGGAGGCATCATGCTACCAACTTCAAACTATATTACAGGGCTACAGTAACCAAAATAGCATGGTACAGGTACAAGAAAAGACACATAGACAAATGTAACAGAATAGAGTACCCAGAAATAAGACAACATATATACAACCATCTGATCTTTGACAAAGCTGTCAAAAACAAGCAATGGAGAAAGAACTCCCTATTCAATAAATGGTGCTGGGATAACTGGCTAGCCATATGCAGAAGAGTGAAGCTGGACCCCTTTCCTACACCATGTATTAGCCCATTTTCATGCTGCTGATAAAAATATACCTAAGACTGGGTAAGTTATAAAGAAAAAGAGGTTTAACAGACTCCCAAGTCCATGTGGCTGGGGAGGCCTCACAATCATGGTGGAAGGTGAAAGTCATGTCTTACATAGCAGCAGACAAGAGAGAATATGTGCAGGGGAACTCCCATTTTTATGACCATCATATCTCACGAGACTTATTCACTATCATGCGAACAGCATGGGAAAGACCCACAACCATCATTCAATTACCTCCCACCAGGTCCCTCCCATGACATGTGGGAATTACAGGAGCTACAATTAAAGATGAGAACTGGGTGGGGACACAGCCAAACCATATCATTCTGCCTCTAGACCCTCCTAAATCTCATATCCACACATTTCAAAACCAATCATGCCTTCCCAACAGTCCCCCAAATCTTAACTAATTTCAGCATTAATTCAAGAGTCCACAGTCGAAAGTCTCAATTGGGACAAGGAAAGTTCCTTCCACCTATGAGCCTGTAAAATCAAAAGCAAGTTAGTTACTTCCTAGATACAATGGGGGTACAGGCATTGGTTAAATACAGCCATTCCAAATAGAAGAAAGTGGCCAAAACAAAGGGGCTACAACCCCATGCAAGTCCAAAATCCAGTGGGGCAGCCAAATCTTAACGCTCAAAAATGATCTCCGTTAACTCCATGTCTCACATCCAGGTCATGCTGATGCAAGAGGGGATTCCCATGATCTAAGGCAGCTTGGCCCATGTGGCTTTGCAGGGTACAGTGTCCCTCCTGTCTGCTCTCACAGGCTGGCACTGAGTGTCTTCTGGCTTTTCCAGGTGCACAGTGCAAGCTATAGGTGGACCTACCATTCTGGCGTCTGGAAAATGGTAGCCCTCTTCTCACAACTCCACTAGGTGGTGCCCCAGTAGAGACTCTATCTGGGGGCTTCCACCCCATATTTCCCTTCTGCACTGCTGTAGCAGAGGTTCTCTGTGAGAGTCCTGCCCCTGCAGCAAACTTCTGCCTGGACATCCAGGCATTTCTACTCATCCTCTGAAATCTAGGTGGAGATTCCCAAACCTTAATTGTTGACTTCTGTCTACCCACAGACTCAACAACACATAGAAGGTGCCAAGGCATGGGGCTGGCACTCCCTGAAGCAATGGCATGAGCTGTAACCATGGCCCATTTTAGTCACAGCTGGAGCAGTTGGGATGCAGGGCACCAAATCTCTAGACTGCACACAGCACTGGGATCTTGGGCCCAGCCCACAAAACCATTTTCTCTGCCTAGGTTTCCAGACCCAGGGTGGGAGGGGCTGCCATAAAAACCTCTGACATGCCTGAAGACATTTTTCCCATTGTCTTGGGGGTCAACATTGAGATCCTCATTACTAATGCAAATTTCTGCAGCTGGCTTGAATTTCTCTTCAGAAAATGGGATTCTTTTCTATCACATCAGGCTGCGAATTTTCCAAACTTTCATGTTGTTTCCCTTTTAAAATGGAATGCTTTTAACAGCCTCCAAGCTGCCCTTTGAATGCTTTGCTGCTTAGAAATTTCTTCCACCAGATACTCTAAATCACTTCTCTGAAGTTCAAAGTTCCACAACTCTCTAGAGAAGGAGTAAAATGCCGCCAGTCTCTTTGCTAAAACATAACAAGAATCACCTTTGCTCCAGTTCCCAACAAGTTTCTCATATCCATTTGAGACCACCTCAACTTGGACCTTATTGTCCATATTGGAATCAGGCTTTTGGTCAAAGCCATTCAACAAGTCTCTAAAAGTTCCAAACTTTCCCACATTTTCCCATCTTCTTCTGGGCCCTCAAAACTGTTCCAATATCTGCCCATTACCCAGTTCCAAACTTGTTTCCACATTTTTGGTTATCTTTCCAGCAGGTCCCCACTCTACTGGTACCAATTTAGTGTATTAGTCTGTTTTCATGTGGCTGATAAAGACATACCCGACTGGGCAATTTACAAAAGAAAGAGGTTTAATGGGCTTACAGTTCCCCACATGGCTGAGGAGGCCTCCCAATCATGGTGAAAGGAAGAACAACTCATATCTTATGTGGATGGCAGCAGGCAAAAAGAGAGAGAGCTTGTGCAGGGAAATTCCCCTTTTTAAAACCCCAGGTCTCATGAGACAGCTCACTATCTTGAGAACAGCATGGGAAAGACCTGTCCCCATGATCCAATTACCTCCCATTGGGTCCCTCCCGCAACACACAGAAATTCAAGATAAAATTTGGGTGGGGACACAGTCAAACCATATCACAACCTGATAAAAAAGTAGGCAAAGGACATGAACAGACACTTTTCAAAAGACATACATGTGGCCAACAAGCACATGTAAAAAAGCTCAATATCAGTGATTAGAGAAATACAAATCAAAACCACAATGAGATACCATTTCACACCAGTCAGAATGGCTATTAAAAAGTAAATAAAAATAACAGAGGTTGTGAGGTTTCAGAGAAAGGGGAACACATCTCATTATACACTATTTTGGGGACTGTAAATCAGTTCAACCATTGTGGGAAGCAGTATGGCAATTCCTCAAAGAGCTAAAAGCAGAACTACCATTTGACTCAATAATCCCATTACTAGGAATATAACCAGAGGAATACAAATCATTCTGTCATAAAGACCCATGCATGCAAATGTCCATTCACAATAACAAAGACGTGAAATCAACCTAAATGCACATCAATGACAGACTGGATAAAGAAAATTTGGTATATATACACCATGGAATATTATGCAGGTGTAAAAAAGAATATCATGTCTTTTGTGGGAACATGGATAGAGCTAAGACTATTAGCATACTAAAGCAGGAACAGAAAACCAAATACCACATGTTCTTACTTATAAGTGGGAGATAAATAACAAGAACACATGAACACAAAGAACTGAACAACAGACACTGGTGTGTACAAGAGGGGGTACAGTGGGAAAAAGGAGTGGAGCAGAAAAAATAGCTACTGGGTACTAGGTGGAATACCTGGGTAATGAAATAATCTGCAAAAGAAACCCCTGTGTTACCTATATAACAAACCTGCACATGTATCCCTGAACTTATAATCAAAGTTTTAAATAAAGAAATTCCTGCTTCAAACTAACACAATTTAAGAATGTTAGAAATTATTCAAACATCCACGTGTCTTGTATTCAACACCTTTTACAACCTCTAAAAAACAAATTTATCTTTGGAAAAATGTTCCTCTTATGAATTTCATTATTTCTATTCCATTAAACTCTGAGCTAGTTTAATGGTCTTGAGGGAACGACCATGTTTATTTCATTTTTGTATCAGTAACACTTAATGTAGTACCTTGCACATGAAAGACATCTAAGAAATGTCTATTAAACTAACATCTATCTCTCTGGAAGTATCTAGCAATTATCTTATAATAAAATCAAATCTGTTTGATATACCTTCAAATATGTGAAAACAGTATGTTACTCAGAGTCTTTACACTTCTATACCAAAAAACTCAAGTCATTTAGTCCCTCTCTTCGTTATGAACTCCAATATATTGACATTCTTTCTAAAGGTTGGGCCAGAATAAAATTCGATACATTAAGTGTGGCTAGACTAAAATACAGCAGATACTGGACCACCATGGTGCTAATTTCAGAAATTATATTTCTATTAATAACAATACAATCTAAGTTAACATAACCTGCATTAGAAGCTGTATTTCACCAGCAACATTTATTGAGACTCCTGGACTCTGCAAACTTTGGTCATAGGATTTGACGCTAAGCTGTGTCTTTCCTTATTTGTACTTGTACAGATGATCTGGGGAATCCAATTAAGGTTATACTTATTTATAATCTTACTTACATTAGTCCTCTCCTCTAAAATCCCACTGCCACTGACTTGGTAATAACTGTTCATTATATCTCTCAATCTTTCACCAGAAATATTAGAATATTTACTAAATGATTTCTTGCTCATCATTCATATTATTCTAATTCACTCATGAAATTGCAAATGATTGCCCCTAAATGGAATTTAATCAGTAACTTCCTGTATTCATTTATGCTTCATCATTTTCAGTAGAGTCCCATTTCCCAATGTGGCATTTAAGGCCTTCATGTTCCAAGACCCTATCTATGTTACTAACTTCATATTCTACAATACCTCAAAAAACATCCCCTCATAGTTTCTAAAAGTTCCATGATTATTTTCATTCTCCTGTTTCTTTATATACACTATATCCTCTGCCTAGTCGTTTTTCCTTTCTCTTCTACCAGATGCCTACCATGCTACTGAACTGTTATATAATTTTTTGATACTCCTCATCTTTTTGAAAAATGTAATTGTCTATCTCTAGCTAGAGAACACATCTCATTATCTATTTATTTAAGTAAATGGTATTCAAGATAGGTAGGTAGTTATTTCCAAAATCAACTTATAGGTAGGTAATATCTTACAATGTGAGAAACAATATATTTCCAATACTTGCTTCATGTGTTTTTAATTAAGGTACACTAAACAATAATAACCTGGGGTGGAAAATTAAAGATATCTATTATCATTGTCTCCCAAGTAATGAAGAAATTTTACTGTGAACACAGAACAAATGAACTAAATGTTAAACCAGACCACTGAAATAACAAGCTATATGTAACATCAAAGTAGAGTACAAGAATTAGCAAAAATGAGTGTGGGCACGGTGGCTCATGCCTGTAATCCCAGCACTTTGGGAGACCAAGGCGGGCGAATAACAGGTCAGGAGATTGAGATCATCCTGGCTAACATGGTGAAACCCCGTCTCTACTAAAAATATAAAAAGTAGCCGGGCATGGTGGCACACATCTGTAGTCCCAGCTACTTGGGAGGCTGAGGCAGGAGAACTGCTTGAATCTGGGAGATGGAGGTTGCAGCGAGCTGAGATTGCGCCACTGCAGTCTAGCCTGGGTGACAGAGTAAGACTCCGTCTCAGAAAAAAAAAAAAGAAGAAGAAGAAGAATTAGCAAAAGTGATTATATTTTGTACTACTAAAAATACTCCCTTGGTTTGGAGCATCTGGTTAAATCAATAATATCTTCCCACGTAAATGGCCCAAAACTAAATTCTCTATAAATACTGAGTTCAGAGTTGTGTTCAAAAAACTAAACAGAATACTAACCACAGATCAGTTCACTTTAGTGTAAGCTTCTTCCCAGTTTTTCATGAGACACTATTACTGTCACAGTTGCATCTAGGACGATGGCTAAGGCTTTTGGGGAGATAGTGTCATTAGCATTCTTTTACATGTTCACAAGTTTTAAAAGAGTCGTATGAAATTTCACAGTGCCAGACTGTGAAAAAAGACAAAATAACACAAGCCTATTGTTTTACATACTTAAGCCTAAAAGAAAAACATACCTCAGCTCATAATATAAAGCTTTTGGAAATCTCAGCCAGAGTAGAAAACTCTAAATTTGTTTGTAGCACTCTACTTTTGGAAGTTATGTTTCTTATTTCACTTTCCAATTTATCCTACAGCATTGTCATTTTTTGTATTGCAGTAAGGGAAGAATAAAATTATAATGAACTTTTAGAAATGATCCTTCCTAATGAAATTATATAACTATACTGAACTAATATATTTTCATAGATAGGAAAAATATGAAAATATAAGGTAAAAAATCCTCTAAATTCAGGCCTTGATCTAAAATTGTCCTTACTATAAGTTGAATGTCCAATATGCTTTTACAGTTGTATTATTTTGGATGACCTTTAAACATTATACTCAACAGATGCTGTGGGAAACTATATACCAAGTAACTCCTCCTATGTGGTTCCAGCACATAGAAGTAGAAGCACAGGAATCTCAGGGTTGGATGACTTGGAGTTCTAGTTTAATACTCTGTCCTACACATAGATTGCCTTTGCACCATTCCAGAAAATCAGCTATTCTCTGTTACAATGTTGTCCATGAATTAACTCGTTCATACTTTCATTTCTCTCTAACTTCTACTTCTTAGAACAATTTGTAACAGGTCTCACCCATCTTCCATACAAGCACTTCTTCCAGTACTTGGTTTTTCCATTTCTTTAAGAAAAAGCAAAGAGCCATTAGGTGTTCAAATCTTACTCTAAATAAAATACAGCAAACTAATAAGGATCAGGAATGATATTTATGGCCACCAGCTGTAACTTCTTTTCTATCTATAATAATTTGACAAGCTCTCCTTTGGAGAAAATAATAAACAGACAAAATCAGTACCAAAGAAAACTGTTACAAGCTGCCTAGAATTCCCATACCCTATTTATGTAGAGAGGGTAAAATGGCCTGCAAACATACCTTAACAAATAGAAAAAAAAAAAAAAAAAAAAAAAAAAATATATATATATATATATATATATATATATATATCTCAAAACTCTGGTATGTGGATACAGTCACTTTTTCAGAGTGCTCCCCAGACTTTTAGACTAAAAGCAATTAAGCCACATATCTGTTCCAGCTTCATGAAATCAGAAACAGCCTGGCAAGTTTACCAAAGGGACCTAAAAGACAGAAGTCATATACCACAGAGGGTATAGACACATTAAACGTTAATCACGTATCACATTATTTTTAAAAAGTAAAGGAATTAAAACAGTGAGTTTACTTGCTAACTAATAATAGCAAAAGAGAGTTAATAAGACAAGCAGATATTCATGAGATACCCCTATGAAGATGTCATGGTTTGGTAGTTTTGGGTAGCAATGTTTTTTAATCAAAAGCAGATCAAGTCCTGTATACCATAATTACAGGAATTCGTTGAATCATACAGAAGGTCACTGGAAGTTTCTCTTGACGTTCTAGAGTTAGCATTAGTAAAATAATTGTGTTACATTCAGTAATCTTCCCTCAATAGCACACAGTAAGTATGATTAGGCATAGCCATAGTCATATCATTAGCAGTTGACTGAGGCCATAGACTAACATTAGAGCTAGACTAGGACTAGAATTTTAAACATTACTATTGAAGCCATAAACCTTATGCTCATTAGACTCATTCCCTGCCCTACACAAGGGAGCCAGGTTCTACCAAGAAGGTAAAAAGATAAACAAAAAACACTGGAAGGATCCCAGTGGACAACTGCTAAAGGGAAGGGAAACCCTAAGGAAAGATCACAATTAAATGTCCCCTAGGGAATTGATACCACCTGTTTCCTTTACCACCTGCAATGTAGCATCAATGTGATTCTTTTAATAATCTCACTGTATCTGTTTTACAATAGCAAAAATATAGATATTGTCAATATGGCACCAAGAACATAGTTCTAATGAAGAATCCTTAGATTTACATACTTCCAGCAGGAATGTATGCTCATCACTAAAAAAACATAGGCACAAAAGAAAATTAGCCTTACAAACGGTTCATGTTAAACTTCTTGAGAGTATAGAGTTAGGGCCTGCTTGTCTGTTGAAAGACTGCTTCCCATTTTCAGATCTCTGTCACTTCCTAATCCTAAGATTATCTTTCAAAGGAGTTATCAAGATAAACAAAGATTAAAGGAAACGTAAGTGAAGACAAAAAGATAGTAGGCCAATAAAAGAAAACACATACACAAAAACATGAAATAAAACTTCCTGCTTTGTTACATGTTAGAACAGTTAAAGATAGTAAATTATTCATTTGCAGAAATATATAAAGGCAATAAGATAATTCTACATGAAATAAAAATAACAATTGGATGCCCTTAACAGAAACACTTTTTAAAAATATGTAACAAAATGCATTCAGCGATGTACTGCAGGGTAGAAAATTCACTTTTTGTCTTTGTGAGAGTGCGCGCGCATGTGTGTGTGTGTGTGTGTGTGTGTGTGTGTGTGTGTGTATCCCTAATCATTTTTTAAGAAGGTAGTTTTTCCTTGGGAAGAGAGCATACTTCATCTATCAGCAAGGAGCTAAAGAACAAGAAGCCTGCAATGGCTAATTCAAAGAGAGGGAAGTCTCAGGGGCAAGCATGGACTGTGTCTGATTTCCAAAATTCTGTGTTATTTGTTTGGAGAAGTTCAAGTACTTACTAAACTATATTAAAATTGTAGCTACAAACCACCATGAAAGTATTGCAGAACAGTGGCATATACCACATTCCTATTGTTCATTTAACTGTGAACTCCTCACACCACAACATGTACAATATATATGCTAAGGTATCCCAACACCAATTTGCAGGCTCAAATTTGTCCTCTTGTCAAAGAAGTAAAAATGTAGATTAGAATGACCTCACTGCAATAATCCAAGCAGCAGTATTTTCTTCCTTTGGAACTTGGATAATTACATTTACAGTGCACTCCCAACATCATTCTTAATGAAGTGGAATTATAAGCAAAATATATTTATAATGAAGAGCTGTAATGAAAATAGATGTCATGTAAAGGCAAATAGTCATCTGAGTTGGAGGACACTATTCCATACATGATGTCCCTATTAGACATTCCAATCTCATCATGAAATTAACTGGATATCTGCTCAATGCTGGCCATGTTAAAAAGTCTGAGACACTTTCCTTCAAATAATATGTAACGTTAGTGGATGATAAGGGAAAAATACAGCAAACGATATTTAAGATCATATATCTGAAGTTTCAAGTAGAAAATTGAGACAATAATATCTATAGGAGTTCACAAGAAAATCAAATTTTGGGGTATGAATTGTGGGAAAAAAGGTGAACAGTCCTAAAAGACCTCATGGGGAAAACAGGTATTAAGCTGTATGTGAAAGGAGGGAAGGATTTGAAAGTGAGATAGAAGTCATTCGGAGAAGAAGGAAAACCATGAAAAGGGTCTACAGCCAGGAATAAGCACAGTGTGTTTGGGAACAATGAACAGATATATTTGGCTTAAGTCACAGCTTTATGTAAGGGAATTATAAGTAACGTATTTAATGTAGATAGTACTTACACTTTAAAAGGTGGAAATTATTAAAAATTTCTGAACAGAGAGTAACAGAAAAGCCAGTGTTCCTGGAAGGCACATCTAGAAACAAGCTGACATAAAAAGAAACTCTGCCTATGTTCTTCCATTGCTGCTCTTGTTTATAACGATAGCGCATCCTCGGTTGTCCTCAGCTGTGCTTTACTGCTCTTGATCTAATCTCAGCCATGCTTCTCAGTACCCTTGCCTAGAAGTTTGCTCAGAAACCTCAATTCAACAGCACCCCTACAGATCAAACACCTTCCTTTAGACTTGGAAATATTAGTGGAAAAGCAACTTGTTTACTGTAGCAAAAAGAGTACATGCTTTGGAATTAGAGAGACCTCAATCTAAATCTGTATTCCAAAAATACATTATTTATAGGGTCTTAAGCAATGATTTAACCTACCTATACCTAAATTTAAGATTAAGTAAAAAGGGGTTACTTTGCAAACAAAGATGAGATAAATGAAGAATACTGGCACATAAAAGAATCTAAAAGTGTGGTTTTTGTTTCACTTTGAATTTATAAGCCAAAGGAAATCTGAACTGAGAGAGAAGCTGTAAAGATCTAAAACTTTTTTTTTTTTTTAGCCAGAGTTTCACTCTTGTTGTCCAGGCTGGAGTGCAATGGCGTGATCTCGGCTCACTGCAACCTCCACCTCCCAGGTTCAAGCAATTCTCCTGCCTCAGCCTCCCGGATAACTGGGACTACAGGCACATGACACCACACCCAGCTAATTTTTTGTATTTTTAGTAGAGATGAGGTTTCACCATGTTAGCCAGAATGATCTAGATCTCCTGACCTTGTGATGCCCCCACCTCAGTTTCCCAAAGTGCTGGGATAACAGGTGTGAGCCATCACACCCAGCCTAAAACTTTTTTTAAATAAATGAAACGTTTAAAGATTTTTAAAATGCCAATAATAATATTGAAAAAAATAAGAAGTGACACTACCAACATAATTATTTTAATTTAAAATATTTCCTGGTGAACTTTTTTCTCACTATGAACATGTTTTTACACATTATAATCATTTTGCTTATAAAACTTTCATACTATTTCTTTCATTTAGCATATTATAAGTGCTTTGCAAGGTTATAATTTAAACTTCATAAAATTAGTTTTAGTAAATGCATAACATTTCACTGAATAATAGTATAAGGTTTATATAACAGTTTACCTATTATTACACAGTTAAGGTTTTTAATTATTTGCTGATATTAGCAATGTTGAAATACTGTTTTGTCCTTGGATAAAACTCAACACCCCACAACTTTAGTATCAATAAGAAAGAATACAAGCAGTCTCCTTACCATCTTTTAAAGGTATTGTATTAGGTTATTCTCACACTGCTATGAAGAAATACCCCAAACTGGGTAATCTATAAAGAAAAAAAGTTTAATTGACTCACAGTTCCGTATAGCTGGGCAGGTCTCAGGAAACTTATAATCATGGCAGAAAGTACCCTTCATAGGGCAGCAGGAGAGAGAATGAGTGATGAGGGAAGCGGGAAGCCCCTTGTAAAACCATCAGATCTCACTATCATGTGAACAGCATGGGTGAAACTACTCCTATTATTCAATTATCTCCTCCTGGTCCTGCCCTTGACATGTGGGGATTATTACAATTCAAGGTGAGATTTAGGTGGGGACACAGAGCCAAACCATATCAGGTATCGAAAATACTAAAATGATCAAGTATAGCAATAGCTAACATATTCTCACTGGAATCTCTGATTCTCTTACCGGATGCAGTGGCTCATGCCCTATAATCCCAGCACTTTGGGAGGACAAGGCAGGAAGATCACTTGAGTCCAGGAGTTCAAGACCAACCTACGGAACATAGTAAGACCACCATCTCCATAAAAAAATTAATACATTAGCCAGAAATGGCAGCACATGGCTGTGGTCCTAGCTACTTGTAAGGCTGATGTGGGAGGATTGCTTGAGTTTGAGAGGGCGAGCCTGCAATGAGCTGTTATCCCATCATGGCATATCAGTCGGGGTGACAGAGTGAGACTCAAAAAAAAAAAAAAAACAAGGAATAGAAAAAGAAAAGGAAATCAAGTATGTAGATTTGCAAGTGTGGAATTTTGCACTCTGTTAAATTCCAGATTATCCTTATTTTCTATCAACAAAAACAGGATTAGAAGTAAATGACTCTATTTGGAAGCAAACATACTTAAGCTTTTATTTAATAATTATATAAGCAGAAAAAGATTCGAAGGTCATTATCATTAAAGAGGCAAAGGATTACTGGCTGGATGCTACCAGAAAGTACAGCTCTGGCTTGGTGATAATAGCTTTATGGGGAGAAAAGTGCTAAGTAATAGCTCAACACACAAAGATATTTCTGAAGAAATACAAAACCTCTAAAGGATTTAAGTGATTAACTAAACAAAAGATCCCAATACCACATAGATAAGAAGCAAATGTTTTTATTTCAATGTACCCCATGTAGTTCAAATAACCTAAATGTTAACTGCACGGAAATAGGAAACATGAATCAATTTCTTGATTGGCAGAAAAATCATTAGTAAATCAGTAATTTGTGCTCCATCCAGGAAAAAAAAAAAATCCTGAATCCTGGATCTATCTATGTAATTAATGTAATAAAGAAAAATGTGGTTGTATCCTAAAGGATCTGATGCCTCTAGTCCTTTTTGAGGACACCTGAAACTTTTTTATTTTGTTTCAGAGAAAGTCAGGAATTGGGCCAACTTCCAGGATCATTTTTATCAGTAGATGAGAGAAATTTCCACATAAGGTGTCAAATAAAGGAACTCAAGTTAGGTTAGAAATAGGCAACCAACTTATTCGTATATTTCCCATTACCAGATAGAGTTTCTACTTTATAGGCGCATTACCACAGTTTAACCCCTCTACTAGGAACTGTTCTGGTCACCATGACTAAAATTTTATACATTAACAAAAAAGATTCTGAATAGGAATCCCACAGAGAAAAAGGTATTTAAATGTCGGCCCTATGAAACATAGCTTAGTGCTTCTCATACATAGCTTAGTGGTATTATATACCATAGTGTGAAGGAGGAAGGGCTTTGAAGGCAGTTTACACCCCAGATCCACTAACTCTAGATGAGTAATTTTTGACACAATAATAAACCTCTCTATGTTTACTAATGTATAAGCTATTCTAGTTTTTCTTTTCTAATTTATAAACTGGGAGAATAACAATGTCTTCACAAATTTGTTGCAAGGAATAAATGAGAATAAATATATATATATAGATATGTACATTAGAATACATACACCTATGTGTATATGTATACACACACAAAGAAAGAAAGAGACAGAGAGGGAGAAGACACTTTGCATAGTACCTGGTATATGGTATGTACTCAAAGGTCATTAGCTATTGTTAAATGTTAAGAGACAGCTTAATATAGTGAAAAAAGCATGATCCCAGGTAAAATGACCTAGGATCCAGACCCACTATTGATTAATTTTCTGACCTTTGGGCAAGACCCTGTTAGGCCTCAATTACCATATTTATTAACTGGGGAAAATAGTGACTGTCCATATAGCATAGAGGCTGTTTTTTTAAACAAAGAAATGAGATAATGACATATGAAAGAAATTTGAACATTACTAAGTAATACATGAATGCAAGGCATTTTATAATTAAAATTCTGTCACTTGAAAACCATACTCTTTCTTATTTGGAGAAACTAGAGAATATGGAAGGAGAAAGACCAATTTAGAATTTTAACCTAAGCAAATTTTTGGTCATTATCTCAAAATAATAGCTTATGACTTCTCTTTTCTATAATTAAATGGTTACTTTTAATGATGTATGACCCAAAAATGATTGTCAATGCCCAGGCAGGAATTCACTTAGTTTATTGTTCAAAACATGTAAACTCCATACAAACTTACTATGCACTATTTCATACAAGCTGCTGCACTATACACAGAAATACAGATGAATAGGACAAGGTCTTTATCCACAGGATTCACAAGTCCATAGTTGGTAATCAATCTAATAGGATGGCATAATAGAAAAAATTTTAAGTTGAATAAATTTGTTTAAATCCTAACCCTTTCCTCTATTTGCTGTATCCTTTACAAAGTATATATACTCCTTGATTTTATGGTCTCATCATAAGATGTAATAATAATATTAATACTTATCCAATTGAGGTATTTTGAGTCCTCATCAACTGGGATGACATATAATACATGTAAAGCATCTGGAACACAACAGATGCTTAATTACCATTGTCTCCTTTCCTGAATAAAGTGCATAAATGAATGACACATCCAGTCCAAGATAAAATTTAGTTAGTGGCATTTTAAAAAGTGCCACAAAGGAAGACGTCACATCTGGTTAGGAGAACTGATAAGGCTTCATAGAAGGTGTGGTACTTAAATGAACCTTGAATGATGTAAGATTTCAACATGTGTAGTTAAAGGGCAAAAGCAGTAAAAGTAGATGAAAAGGCATTTTAAAAAACAAAGGCCCAGGATAGAAAACAGCTGGGTGTGCTTAACAAAGAGCATTACTTCATTATGGGAGGAGAATCTTTGGTAAATAGAAAAGAGAGACAAAGACAAAGAAAAAGACAGAAAGGTAGTTTAAGGTCCCATTATGAAAAGTCTGATGGGCACAGAAAAGATTTTGTACTTAATGGGAGTACTGACAATTTGTATTGACAGTTCTTCAGTAGCAGAATCATTTGGTTAGGTTGGAGATGGCAACAATTTCTGGAAATAAATTGAGTACTAAAAGAAATGTCAGTTTTTAAAGGGTTTTAAATTGGAAGACTTTCAGAAACTTGTAAGTAGAAAATAATTTTCTCTAAGGATGACCTATCAGCTGCCCAGAAAGTAAGCCCAGGGATACATCTCACTGTATTACTAGACAAAGAAACTAGAAGAATTTCCATGCTTAACTCACAAACCAAGGTGGGCTGAGAGACCTTGCCCCATGTCATACAAATTAACATTAACATCAGACAGAGAAAACAAACTCAGGATTCCATCTTCTGGGTCTGTTACTTGAGACAGCATTTTCTCTCTTAAGCATTTCTGAAAGATAATTATCAGGATAACAAGAATAAATTCTCAAAAATATGCTCTTATGCTGAGCATGCAAAATGGATAACTGTGCATGCAACTGTAAATTACACAACTGAAGTCTGAAAAAAATGTGTGTGTACTTACCTCATCTCTTAACTCAAGGGAAAGAGTAAGATTTAAAAACTCTAAATGTGGAAAATATTATTACAGTTATTTCTGGGTGCCTCATGAAGATAGGCAGGCCTCCTAGGTCACAAAAACTTCAAGGGGAAAAAACAGTTGCAAAATTAAATAATTTTCCCCTCTGATCACTGACTATCTAATAATGAGAATAATCTACAAACAAATACACTCGTACTCTCCCTCTCTCTCTCTCTCTGTGTCACACACAAACACACTTCTAGACACTGACCTATCCCCCTGGCTATGTTGCAGCTATGATGCAGTAACAAAATATCCCTGAGAATTAAGAGAAACTGGGGATTCTAAAATGTAAAAGAATAAGACAGAATTTGCCTTGTCTTCTAGTCCTCTCCATATACTTTTTTTTCTATTAATCAATCTTTCTGACAGAGAGCCACTCCTGCCACAGAATAACGAAAATATTTATGGTAAGTAAAACACAAATGATTTGGGTTCTTTTTCAGAAATGAACTCTTTTCTCTCCCATTCTTTCTCTAATAATGCACAAGGGCAAATCTTAGACACAGTTCTGTTTTGTGACTAATATGGGGTTCCATGAGGAAACTATCTAGCATTCTGGGCAACATAAGCAAAAATGTTGGGCAATCTATTTTGTGGAAAACCAGGTGGAGTAGTTTAAAAAGTCACCTGATTCTAGAGACTATAATATCTGTTGAATCCAATTAATTTTAAAAGTGTAGCTTCAGAAAAGTGTAGACAAGACAGAAATGTGGCATCAATGGAAGCAATATTGAGGACTTAAGCCTGTCAGTTACTCCCTACTTTGATTCTGAATGGTACATGGTAAAGTGGTTCTACAATAAGAGTGGTAGAATCAATTCTATCCACACTGAGAGGTTATATAGTATTTAGGTAAAAATGGCAGTTTAGAATAAACAAAAAAGGGAGAAATAAACCTCAACTAATTACTTACAGTATAGCCTTGCAAGAAAGTTCACAACTCTACAGGTAGAAAAAGCATGTACTTTAACTCAGACAAGCACCAGTCTGATCCACATTACTGCTTCTAAATGACCGAGAGGTTGAAGCAAGGAGTACAAAGTGTGATGCTGAAATATAACAGCATGATGAAATGGGGACAGGTAGGCTGGCAAAAGCAATTTAAAAATATAAATTAGGCCAGGTGCAGTGGTTCATGCCCGTAATTCCAGCACTTTGGGAAGCTGAGGCAGGCGGATCATGAGGTCAAGAGATGAAGATCATCCTGACCAACATGGTAAAACCCCAGCTCTACTAAAAAACACAAAAATTAGCCGGGCGTGGTGACGTGCACCTGTAGTCCCAGCTACTCGGGAGGCTGAGGCAGAAGAGTCACTTGAAGCAGGAGGCGGCCGTTGCAGTGGGCCGAGATAGCGTCACTGCACTATAGCCTGGTGTAAGAGCAAGAATCCGTCTCAAAATAAATAAATAAATATATATATATATATTTATGTAAAAATTAGTTATCAAAGACAATAATTCTTGAGATAGGAAATAATTATTCTAAATATCACCTCCACACCCCCCCATTATAAAAGCAGCAAATGTTTCAATTCAGAAAACATTTTCTAAAAACACAAACAAAAAGGAAAACCTAAAAGCTACATAGAAATAAGGATAAACCATGGCGTATACAATTCTAGACTTACACTGTACATAATATGGATATTTAATGTGTATATATGTATTAATTAAAATAAGATCATATCTGTTTTTACAATTAAAAAATAATAAACACATTTTAATGAGTAAATATACATTTACATCAATTTAATGAATGAATGATATCACATTATATGAATATACAGTAATTTAGTTTGTGAACACATTTGCTTAATGGACTTTTATATCAACTCCTTGCTATACAAATACAATATTGCATTAAATATAGTTATATCTGAATTTTATAATACACCCATGATTATTTCATTAAGTTCAAATTCCAAAAGTGGAATTACATAGTAAAAGATAAGCTAATTTTAAAGGATTTCTGCAGCATATTGAAAAACTGACCTCCAAAAAGACTATAATAACTAAGACCCCTGCCAGCAATCTATCAAAATACCTTTTTCAACAATTATTTCTCATAAATATTGAATGTTACCATTTTCTTATTTCTAACTAGTTCACAGTCAAAAATTTCACATTTAATATGTATGTCTTATTACTAGAGTTACAAAATTTGTTCGTTAATAATTTATTCTTTTACCAAATATTGTCCATTTTTGTTTACAAATAAATTTCAGAATTATTTCAATAAGATTCCTCCCTAAACAAATTTACTTGGTACTCATCGCAATTCAATTTGAAAAAATTTTCTACAAAATGAAATAGTCCCATACTGGAATACCAGATATATTTGTGCATAAAGAAGTCTCTTTTATGTTACTCTGTGATGTTGTCACATTATTTCTACATTTATTTGCTAAGTAGAGAAATTTCTCTGCATAGAGAAATTATATCTATGTCTGAATAATAAACAAGACATTTTTGACAATATATTTTCTATGTGGGTATTGCTAATATAAGAAAAGTTTACTTGTTTTCTAAGTGAACCATCTAACCTAAATTCTTATTGGTCTTGATGAATTTTTACTATTTTCTGTCTAGATAATAACCTATAAATAATAATATGCATGTGCTGTAGTTTGAAATGTTTGAGCCTCTCCAAAATTCATATTGAAATTTAATCCCCAATGCAACTTTCATATATTTTTTTAATTTTTGTGGGGAGGCCTTTTCAGAAGTGAGGGAATGAGTTTGTCCTTTTTGCCTTCTCTGCTATGTAAGGATACAGAGGTGTCATTTATGAGGAAAAGGGCTTCATCAGACACTGAATCTGCTGACATCTTGATGTTGGACTTTTCAGCCTCCAGAACTGTGAGAAATAAATTTCTGTTCTTTATAAATCTCTCAGTCTAAGGTATCTTATGGCAACAGGAATCAATTAAGACATACATGGCTCATAATAATATAATTTATTATTTCTTTACATTTATTTGATAGAACTTCTAAAGCACTGATGAGAAGCATCTTCACCCAATTCCTGAAGTCAATGAAAATAAATGTTTTATTGTTCTACTGTTAAATCTATAGTGGCTACTAAATTTCAAAAAGATGTTCTTTATCATGTTATTGAAATATTATACTACTTGGAATTTAGTAAACTTTGTTTTTAAATCAAGAATGTAGGCTGGATGTAATAAAATATCTAGAATACATCAACATACTTTATCTCTTTCACTTAGTAATGTGATAAATTATATCAACAGATTTTTTTTAGATATCAAACCATCCTTTCATTTCTGGAATAAATCCTACACATGAGTACTAAATTACTTTCTTAAAACACTTGGAATTGACTTGTTAAAATTTTATTTATTTTATTTTTATCCATAATTGTGAGATTAACTCATTTTTGTGTGTGCTCTTTTTGTCTGGCTTTGGTGTCAAGAGGAAGCTTGATAAAATGACACAATTTTCTGCAGGTAAATGCTCCCAGTAGGAAAACCAGGAAAGGAAGTAAAACATGTAGAGAAAACATATTAAAAGACATCAGGTGCTGTGAATAAATGAAAACAAAAGAGAATGAAACTGCAGAGAGGACAGAACCTTTTAAAGGTGAGCTGAGGATCTGCAGCTTTCCCTAAGGGCATTTGAGACACGTAGGCATGGGCGACATACTCAGAAGCTTAAAACCAGGCAGAGACTAACTACTAGAGGGTTAAAAAAAAACACATGAAATCTTTGCTGCTTCCAATGGACTAGAGTGCCACAATTAGAGATTTGAGGACTAGTTTTTACCTTCAAGACATTTACTGAATTCTAAAGAATCTCTTAAAAGCAAGGAGATTTCTCACAGTTTCACAGTGTTTCAGAGAAAAAGACTCACTAATAGAAGAATGCCTAAAAATGACGGGAACTATCTTAATCCATTCAGAATAATGTAACAAAATCTCACAGACTGGTAGCTTACAAACAACAGAATTCTCACAGTTCTGGAGGCTTGGAAGTCCAACATCAAAGTACCAGCAGATTCAGTATCTGACAAAGGCCTATCTCCTAGCGCAAAAAAAAAGAAAGAGTTGTCTTCCTGTATCCCTTTATCCTCACATGGCCAGAAGGAAGACAGCAGCTCTCTGAAGTCTCTCTTAGAAGTATACTAATTCCATTTGTAAGGCTCTACCCTCATAATCAACCACCTCCCAAGGCACCTCCAAATGTAATCACACTGGTTATTAGATTCAACATATGACTTTTCAGTGTACACTAACATTCAGATCATAGGAGGAGCTGAAACCTCATTAGGGATGGTAAATTAACACTGACAACTCCCAACCACTTTTTTTCTTGTCAGCAATTGCTGATGCTGGGTACTGCTACGTCTCCTTCTCAATGTATTTGCCAGATTCTAAAACCAAGGAGTACAGGAAACTAAATAGATAAGGTTTCTGTGAAAAGTAAGAATTTCTATAGTCCTCTCTGGTGCTAAAAAGACAATGACATATCAGGCAGTTTTTAAAAATTCTGCAGAACCATATCCTCCCAACAGCGGCAAAGTACATTATAACTGCAACCCAATATTAAACCAAATTAGTCCATGATGGTACTAAGGCGGTCAGCTTCAAACCACAACCCACCCACCTGCCCATTCTACATACTTAGTAAGGGAAAACATGAACCTTTTTGGTGGAAAATAACACCACCTGGAATCTCCATATATTTTACACAATGTCTAACATCAACCAAAAAATATTAGAAAGAGACAGGACCACATGACTGAAAGCCAAGAGAAAAAAAATCCCACCAATATGTGTATGTATAATGTATATAAGAAGTAGTAAAGAATGATTTCAAAAGTCTATAATTAATATGCTTAAGAAAATAGAGAAAAGATAGACAAATTAGATAAAAAGATGGAGCATTTCATCAAACAATTTCAGTTTATATAAAAATATTAAAGAATATTATAAAACTAAAATATGCATATCTGAAATTCTAACTTTCTTTTCTAATTCTACCAAGGCTTTTATAATGTCTTTGTACTAATTACCTTGAACATCATAGGAAGATAAGCAGACATAATACCAGGAACCATTTTTAGAATGAAAAAAACACAAAGATCAATGAAAAAATGATGGAAGTAGCCTCTAAATATGATTAAGAGTTAATAAATATAGCATGAGCGTTTATATACTAAGATCTTTCTGGTTAGTTACAGCAGAAACTAATATCTTTCATCAAACTAAATTATAAGGAAACTTGTTTATATATAAAGGACAAAGTAAGAGTAAATATCACTTACAGGAAGGTGTGTAAATACAGCAAAGGTGCTACGAAGAAAGGCAATGAGGTCTACCAGGTAATCACTAGCTTTGTTGCCCAAATCTCCGGTCATCCAGTCATAGTCTGCCAGCTGTAGGAACTGGTCAATCTTCTGGTTTAAGTTTGTATAAATTTCTTCTTCAGCTGCATGTCTAGCATCCTGTGAAAAAATGTAAAATTTGAAAAATCACTCCGATTTTAATATGAACAGGGCAGACATTTCATCTCACACTTATATCCATTAAGTAACTAGGAATATAACTGGGAATACTGAGTCATATCACAATCGTCTTTAATTCTTTTTTTCTTTTTTAAAGGCATTGTGTAGTTTTTTTAAATTTTTTTGTTTGCATCCTAAGAGACGCTAAAATAAAAGCAGAGTGCCCAGATCATACAAGTTTTAGATACCTATATAAGAGATTTATGAAGTATACTAGCATATTAAAGGTCTAAGAGATGTGGTGGGATTAATATTGTTACAAAAATATTTTCAGGACAAATGATCATACATTACTCCATGACACCGGTATTCCAATGCTAAAATTCCATCAACATAGACTTGTACAGAGTAACTTATGGAGTACTTCCCACCACATTCAATATTCCCTTTCAGTCTGATCTTCCTTAATTTCTGTTAAATACTCTCTGTTTAAAACTCTTGTCTTCCTGTAGAATTCATGAGATGGTTTTCTCCTGGCTTTCTTTTCACTTCTCTGGACACAAATCTTCTAACTTTCTTTGGGTGATTTAATTAAATAATTTAATTAATTATTCCTATAGATTCCAGTATCTCTATCTTCAGTACAGATCCACTCCAAAATCATTCTAATTCAAGAACCATATAAGCTAGTGTTTCATGGATACCTCTGACCCAGACAAACTTTGAAATAAGTGGCCGGGCGCGTGGATTCATGCCTATAATCCCAGCACTTTGGGAGGCAAAAGTGGGCGGATCACCCGAGGTCAGGATTTCAAGACCAGTCTGGCCAACATGGTGAAACCCCCTCTCTACTAAGTATACAAAAATTAGCCAGGCATGATGGTAGGTTCCTGTACTCTCAGCTACTCAGGAGGCTGAGGCAGAAGAATTGCTTCAACCCAGGAGGCGGAGGATGCAGTGAACTGAGATCATACCACCGCACTCCAGCCTAGGCAACAGAGTGAGACTCCGTCTCAAAAACCAAAAGTGGGACCAGGTTGAAACTCCTCATGTTTATCACTCTTTACCTGTTCAATTCAAACCAAAGCAGAGATCTAATCAACACATTAAATTCCATTCTTTCCTCCACAGTCAGAAAATGAGTTCTGTAAACTCTATCTCTTAAATTTCTCTGTAATTTATACTGTTCTCTACATTTTCACATTTTTGAAATCTGAATAATTTTGCAATATATTTATATACCATAATATAGTCAGTGACTATATTTACTTACATGAACAATGCTTTATAAAATTTGATTAATAAAAATTATATAAAATTATATATATTTGTTACATACAACTTGATGTTTAGAAATACATACACACTGTGAAATGGCTAAACTGAGCTAAGATTGGTGTAAAAGAAACTGCTTTTAATGGCAAAAAGTACAATTACTTTTGCACCAATCTAATAATTAACATATGCATTACCCCATATACTTATTTTATGAGGTAAGAATACTTAAAAGTACTCTGCTAGCATTTTTCAAGAATATTATACATGGTTATTAACTATAATCATCATGATATAGAATAGATCTCTTGAGGTAATTCCATCTATCTAACTGAAAATTTTTATCCTTTGACCAAATACACCCCAACCATATTCCTCAGCTCTGGTAACTACCATTCTATTCTCTGTTTCTATGAAGTCAACATTTTTAGACTCTACATATGAGACCATGCATATTCTTCTTTCTGTATCTGCCTTATTTCACTTAACATAATGTCCTCATGATATATCCATGTTGCTGCAAATGGCAGGATTTCCTTCTTTTGTAAGGCTGTATAGCCTTCCATTCTGTATACATACTGTATTTTCTTTATGCATTCACCGGTTGACAGACACTTTGGTCAAATCAATATCTTGGCTATTGTGGAAAATGTTGCAATGAACATGAAAGTGCAGATATCTCACTGACGTACTGATTTTATTTCCTCTGGAAATATACCCAGTAGTGCGATTGCTGAAACATATAATACTTCTATTTTCAAGTTTGCAGGGAACCTCCATACTGTTTTCCACAATGGCTATAAATAATTTATATTCCCAACACTGTATAAGGGTTCCCTTTTCTCCACATCCTCTCAAATTAATGAAATGATGTTGGTAAGTATTGGTATCTTCAATACTTACCATTTGTCTTTTTGATAATAGTCATCCTAACAGGTGGCAAGTACTGTACCATTGTATTTTAGTTTCCATTTTTCTGATGACTAATGATGTTGAATATTTTTTCATATACCTCTTGGTCACTTGCATGTCTTCTCTTGAGAAATGTGTATTCAAATGCTTTGCCCATTTTCTCATTGGGTTGTTTTCTTGCTACTGAATTGTTTTAGCTCTTTATATATTCTGGAAATGCATCCCTTGTCTGCTGTATCATTTGGAAATATATTCTGCCATTCATTTTTTTTTTCCTTTTTTTTTTTGAGACAGAGTTTCATTCTGTCATCTAGGCTAGAGTGAAGTGACACAATCTTGGCTCACTGCAACCTCTGCCTCTCAGGTTCAAGTGATTCTCCTGCCTCAGCCTCCTGAGTAGCTGGGATTATAGGAGCATGCCACTATGCCTGGCTAATTTTTGTATTTTTAGTAGAGATTGGGTTTCTCCATTTGGCCAGGCTGGTTTCAAACTCTTGACCTCAAGTGATTCCCTCACCTCTGCTTCCCAAAGTACTGGGATTACAGGCATGAGCCACCACATTCTGCCTATTCTGCCATTTTGTAAGTTATCTTTCAACTGTTGATTGTTTCCTTTTCTGTGCAAAAGCTTTTCTGTTTCATATAATCAATCTCGTTTGCCTTTTTTAACATTTGTTGCTTATGCTTTGGGGTCATAGCTTAAAAAAAACTCATTGCCCAGGCCAATGCCATGGAGCTTTTCGCCTATATTATTTTGTAGTAGTTTTAGTTTCAGGTCTTATGTTTAAGTCTTTAATCCATTTTATGTTTTTATCTATGGTGTGAGGTGAGGAACAAATTTCATTCTTGTAAATGTGGATATCCAGTTTTCCCAACACTGCTTTTTTCAGACTCTCCTTTCCCCTTTCATGTGTTCTTGGCATCTTTGTCAAAAATTAATTGACTATACATGAGTAAAATTATATCAGAACTATTTTGGTGTTTTTTTTTTTTTAGAAAGAAAGAAAGAGAAAGGGGGAGAGAGAAAAGGAGTCTTGCTCTATTGCCCAGGCTGGAATGCAATCCAAAAATAGGTATTAAAAACCTCCTTTATGCTGATAATTGTGCTTAACAGCAGAGACAGGAAGGAATAAGGGAAGAAAATAACAAACAGCCAACTAATATTTCATTTAAGTCTGTGAAATGCTATGTAAATGCTGAAGAGTGATTTACTTCCAATTATATGGTCACTTTCAAAATAGGTGTAGTGTGATACTGAGAAAAATGTACGTTCTGTGGACCTGGGGTGAAGAATTCTATAAATATTCACTGAGTTTACTTGTTCCAGGTTTGAGTTCAAATCATAGATGTCCCTGTTAATTTTCTATCTCGTTGATCCATCAAATATTAACAATGTGGTGTCAAAGTCTCCCACTATTATTGTGCGGGAGTCCAAGTCTCTTTATAAGTCACTGACAACTTGTCTTATGTATCTGGGTGCTCCTATATTGGGTGCATATATATTTATGATCATTCACTCCTGTTGTTGCATTGATCCTTTTACCATTATGTAATGTCCTCCTTTGTTTCTTTTAGTCTTTGTTACTATTAAAGTCTATTTTGTCAGAGACGAAAGTTACAACTCCTGCTTTTTTCTTTTTTTGCTCTCCATTTGATTGTAAGTCTTCCACCAACCCTTTGTTTTGAGTCTTTGTGTGTCCTTGCTTATGAGATGGATCTGGATACAGCGTACTGATGGGTTCTGACTTTTTTTTTTTCAATTTGCATGTCTGTGTCTTTGATTGGGGCACTTAATCCATTTAAATTTAGGATTAATATTGATATTTATGAGTTTAATATTGTCATTTAATGCTAGCTGGCTATTTTGCCCATCAGTTTATATAGATTCTTCATTATGGAGATACTCTTTACCTTTTGGTAAGTTTTTGGGATGACTGATACTGGTTGTTCCTTTCTGTGTATAGTGCTTCTTTCAGAAGCTCTTGTAAAGCAGGCCTGGTGGTGATGAAATCTCTGAGTGCTTGCTTGTTCACAAACAATTTTATTTTTCCTTCATTTATGAAACTTAGTTTGGGTGGATATGAGATTCTGGGTTGAAAATTCTTTTCTTTGAGGATATTGAATATTGACCCCCACTCTCTTCTAGTTTGTAGGGTTTCTGCTGAGAGATCTGCTATGAGTCTGATAGGCTTCCCTTTATGGGTAACCTGACCTTTCTCTCTAGCTGCCCTTAAAATTTTTTCCTTTATTTCAACCCTGCTGAATCTAACAATTATGTGTCTTGGGGTTGCTCTACTTGAGGAATATCTTTGTGGTATTCTCTGTATTACCTGGAGTTGAGTATTGTCCTGCCTTACTAGGTTAGGAAAGTTTTCCTGAATAATATCCCGAAGAGTATTTTCCAGCTTCGATTCATTCTCTTCATGACATTCAGGTACACCTATCAAATGTAAATTAGGTCTTTTCACACAGTCCCATGTTTCTTGGAAACTTTGCTCATTCCTTTTTACTCTTTCTTCTCTAGTCTTCTAATTTCATTTCATTAAGTTGGTCTTTGACCTCCGATATCCTTTCTTCTGCTTGATCAATTCAACTGTTAAAACCTGTGCATACTTTGCAGCGTTCTCGTATTGTATTCTTCAGTTCCATTAATTCATTTATATTCCTCTCTAAATTGTCTATTCTTATTAGGATTTTGTCAAACCTTTTTTCAAGGTTCTTAGTTCCTTTACATTGGGCTAGAACATGTTCTTTTAACTCACAGAAGTTTCTTATTATCCACCTTCTGAAGCCTTATTCTGCTAATGGAACGC